TGACTACGCTTAGAATTTGGTGCACCTGTATGCTTGGCTTTTCGCTCTTGCATACAAAATGTAAGCTCAAGATGAGTCGACACGGTATATGCAGTTGCACAGGCACTGCTCTGGCATACAAAACACTTCAGCTCAAGAAAACTGCTTCGAACTCTTGTCTACTTGCAGCCGATCACGTAATCGCTACGCTTCAAATTTCACGGAAACTCGTGCCCTGCAGAAGCTACGAGTACCTGTTTCAGTCTCAATTCATCAATTCACATTTCGTCATTTTCAATCCAGATTCGTCATTTCGTTTCACTTCAGTGCTCATGGGCCGATTTACAGGTTATCCCTGCATCGGATGTACCCGGACTGAGCACTCTACAAACCAACATTCACCATCACAATTTCAATCACAGTTTTAATTATCTGGCCATCAGTTAGGTTCGAACTGCGGTGGGCGCCATGACGGAGAGATCAGTACGATAGGAATAATTACCCTAATAATCTATCCTACAGACCTACAAACTGTACTAACGACAGAGAATGAGCGAATAATCTCAATGTGGCATAGCTAAGTCTAAGAATCTACGCGAAGCGAGAACTGCATCTCCGACGATATTTTAATTAATAACTCCGAAACTGCCAAAACTCACCATCAGAATGAGAGATCTGATGATCCAAAGTACTGCCACTCACGGACTTATACAGACACGGCGCATCGATTGGCGCAGTAGAAGACGTATTATTGTATTGCTGACCGGTGGTCATTTCAACGGCCACTTTGTATTATGCTCGCAGATAGCCCTTTGAAAACTGTTAAAGTTAAGACATTTAGCCAAAAATACTTTATATTACAACCGCAATAAACAAAAATTAAATTTCTCACGCGTACCAGTCCGCCCGTTGTTATCAGATTGATACCATTCTGCTGTAGCTGACCTAAGGCTAGCAAAATTCTGAAAAAAATTTAATTTCTTGATTGAATTATTTCTATCGAAAATTCCTAATTTTCAGGGTCTAATTCGAACGGGATCGGGTTACGGGTACCGGGAAGTCCTGGGTGAAAGCGGATGAATGGTGTCAAAGCGGTTCACCATGTGTGACTACCTGTTCTGACCAGCTCACCATGCGCGCAGCATGGCGGAACACATTTACCGGAAGCTGCCCATTCTATTTCAAAACCCGATTTTAATTTTGGTTTTGCTTCCGTTCGTTGGGGACGACGTCTAATAAATTAGGCCTGTGATCTGGCCGTACAGTAAACTGGTGTTTCTCGTTTCTGTGTATTCAGCGCTTTTAATTTGAAGTGTTTTGGCACTTAATTGGCGGTGCATCTGTTTTGGCCATTGGAATGCCTGCTTCGTCAGACTCGGACGAATGTGTGCAGATTGTTCCCTGTGGGCGCCCTGTTAAGCGGCAGCCCAAACAGTGTGTTGACGGGCCGGTAGTTTTGGCGGCCCAGGAGGACGCAAGAAGTTCGGATGCTGGATTGATGATCGCGGCGGAGAATATAGCCCCAGTTGGACAAGCGCCGGCAGCGGTCCTCTTTTCTCAGCAGAAGCGTGGTCATCCGTGGCCGGAGATACTGCGCGTCAAGCGCTCGAACTTGGTGCCAGCGCGGGAAGGTCAGCAACAGCTCGCGACTCCTGTTATCAGTCAAGCTTCCACATGTGGTGGACAAGGACTCTTTATTTCTCCAGCACGTCGGCCAGAAATCCGCACGGTAATGCTTACGCCGTAACCGCTTGAAGATCTCAGAGATGCAGAGGCAGAGGAGGACCATGTTTTGTTAGCAGTGAAAGAATGCACTGAATGTCGTTGTCAGTTGACTCAAAGTTTCAAGCACTAGTTTTTCGTTTAGCTTTCATAAAACTCCCCACCCAACATCTTAGAAGATAGAGAAAAAATTCCGAAGCTTTTGATCTCTGATAAGTAGTCATTTCTGGCGAACCAATAAAGTAATGATTGTTTTGGTTTCTCGTAGACATAGTATAAGGTGCAAAGCAACGCATCCATCGCAAGGTCGTACGCTATGCTTATGAGGAACAAAACAAGCATAACTTTCTTGATGCGCCATAAAGACCTACTTCCCAGATATCAAAAAATTCTGAAATTTTGTTCTCTGTTCTGAAATATTGACTGGGAAGTTTTGATAAAGACACACCGAAAAACTGATGCTGCAAGTTTTGGAGATCAAGTGGCAGTCGAAATCAGCTACCCAGAGTCCCGACTATTACATGTATGCGCGTACGCGAGGTGGTTGCCAAACAAGCTCGTTCAAATAGCCGTACACTCAAGCAAACTTCTCAGTAGATGAAATTCAACAACAACAATTTTTTGGAGTAAAGTATTATGTAACCACGCTAGTCTAAAGTCTAAACCATTCATTTCCTTCGCAAGGCCGCAGGATGCGGCGTCACGTTAAATGTTTTGAATTAGATAATGATGCTGGCACTTTTTAAAATCTCAACGATTTACTTAAGAATTATCTTTCCCGTGTTACCGTGTAAGTCTATCATGTCACCAGTAATATACAGTACATAATTAAAGGCATCGGTTTAGTTGAAGTTAGCACACATGGCTTGGAAGCGCTACAGAAACGTCCGTGGGGGCGTTTTTGTCAGTCACAACCGATGGGTTTCGTTATATCAGACTGATTAACATTTTCGAATATGTATCACAATTTGATGTTGCGAACACAGTCTAATGCTGTACCATCATACCGCTTGACAAGTCAAGCAGGACACGCTCATCGGTCACCAGACATTTGAATCACCTAACAAAAGCGAAGAAAACCTTAGAAAACTGGGAACATGAGCGATTACGTGCACCTCCCGGCAAACAAGTGCCCCAGCATCTGCATTCCCAGAGGCCGGAGCGCCAGCGGCTTTCCTGTTATTGAAATTGCATTTTATAATTCGAGGGCCTTTAGTTTTGCTTAACACAACCCTTCGGGCCGCTTTTTCTGTACATTCATTCGCCTTGTCTTCTTTTCAGGTTGCCAAGCAACGCACTCATCAGGCGCAGCGTAATACGGTAATACCGACCGCAGTACAGCCTGTGCCACTTGGGCGCTTGCCGAAGCGTTCTTTTGGGCGACCTTCGAGGGGACATCGCAACGGACGCTCGTTCAAGCACTTTGGATCCCATCCTCAGGTTGGCAGTCAGCTTCTCGTACATTCTGATTTTTAATCTGGTATTGCGTAGGTATCGACCACCAGTCAGATTCCTGCTCCGCTTCCGGCATCGGTTCCGCATTCTATCGTCGTAGCCACCAACGGGCAGTCGGGCGTTGAACTGGGCAAGCTGGTGGTGAAAATCATCGCCTTTAAGCCAGCGCAACTGCGCATCCGTACGCTCAACGATGTGCAGTACTTAATAAATTACGCCGATCATCCGCAGGAGTTCGTGCCGCATACTGTGTGCATCCAGCATATTCCGGTGCATCTTGCGGAATATCTCGCTCAAACGCCGATTATGCGGCTCCAGGCGGATTAAACGGTGTTATCGCACAGAAATGCAGACGATTAACGGCGGTCCGCCGACTAACGCCTCGCTGCACAGTACACTGTACCATAACGCCTCATCTGGCACCGCGTGAGTTCCCTCATCAAGAATCGTGGAATGACATTTAACTTCTGTTGGTTGTTCATAATGCCCTTAAAGAACTAGCTGTGGATATTGTGTGATACAGATTCTTTCATAGATAAGCGTACTAACGTTAATACCACTTCACGTGGATGAGAAATATGCTTAGTACTTTTTGCATTTTTGATGAAAAGTTGTATTTTCGTCGGAAATCGTAGTAGTGGCTACGAATCTGTGGGGTATGAAGCAGAAGCGCTGCTTAAGTTAGCGCGTTTTAAGCGATGAACGGTTCTTGGAGAATAAAATGTTAACACTTCATCCACGTTTTTCGCGTCGAATGACCGTAAGTCCAAATATCAGGACGATGACCTTAGACTTTAAAGCATCTCAAATCGAAATGATTGATGATTATTCAGTGGTCAGCGCTTTAAGAGAGCTAACGGCTGTTCGGGTTGTCAAAGGATGCAAGTCTGTTGTAATTGCGACTACCTGAATCCAGAAACAGATTACTATGCGGCCAAATCGCAGGTCTAATTAATCAGAACGTGCCATACAAGCTGAAGAAGACAAAATTTCCAGTCACATTAGAAACAGCTTGAACAGCTTCCGATGCGTTAATGGCAAACTGCAGTAGAGTTAGTCACAACATGGTGAACCGCTTAGACAACATCCGGTTTAGTTTGCAATGGCGGTACACTTTTTAATCGTCGACGCGGACCAAATGATCATCATGAATGCCGTCAGATTTTTTCGGTTTTGTACAATGCAGGCAGGTTTAGGTTTACCGGGAGCGGTGCGCTATGATCCTATGTCCATCAAATTCTTGTCGGTTTAAACGCTCAGAATGTTTACCGGATTGCCATACAGAGGTTATTAGCTCCAGCAAAATGTTTTTGGTTTGGTATAATCGCCAGCATTGTAGAGGAGGGCGGACTGGAACGCCACATCGAGTGATACTATTAAGGAAAATGGCCCCGTACATACAGAGTAGTGTCAAAAGGGGATATATACACTAAAACTTTCACTTTCGCGCACTCCGAACCACTTTTTTATAATACTTTGTCATTCTAAAGCTAACTGATTTGTGTAGATTGTTCTGCAAACCGTTTGCGCGCGCAACATTCGTTTGCCCAGATATGTCGAACTACAATAGTTTGAATGCATTGTTGTGTACCAAAAGTCTGGTTATTGGTACACAGCAATGCACTTAAACTTTTCGCCCATTTTAGTTCGTCATATCTCGGCAGCCGGATGCTGCGCGGGTAAACGGTTTGCAGAACCATGTATACAAATCAGTTAGCTTTGGAATGACATAAAGTATTACAAAAAAGTGGTTCGGAGTGCCCGAAAGCGAAAGTTGTACCGGGCCGATTTCGTTAATGGCCAGTGTGAGCGCAAAACGTTCACAGACACTAAAACGGCTTTTACCTAAGAGTTTAATAACAGCGAACTTAGCAGCAAGATAAGTAAACATCTCCATTTTCTACATATCACGGCCAACAAGGTAGACGAGGTCAGTCAACAGTCAACACACAAACAACATTACCAATCATCTTCCAAACGCAATAAAATTGTTAAAAAATTCACGCATCCAAAACAGCAATTACACAATCACCATAAAATTTAAAATACACATTTCCTGAGCCTACTGATCGCCGATCAGCGCGATCAGATGAATTCACAGTAGTGGCCGCAGCCCGTGGGGCAGTGCGCGGCCTTCTTGAACCACTCCTGAATGTGCGGCAGATGGCCGCCGTGCGAGCAGCCCTGACACCACACGTACAGGCCGCGCACCGGCAACTGGCAGATGCTGCAGGTGTTGGTCAGTTTGCGGCAGGAGGTGCAGTACCAGCCCACGCGCTGCAGATGCCGGCCACACATGTTGCAGTTGGTGTACACCGTGGTTGACTGCTGGTTCAGCTCGCCCACCGCCGGCAGGTGGCACAGCTTGATGATCTCGTTGGCCACGGTGAAGAGCTGGAAACGCGAGAGGAGATCTGCAAAAAAACCGGGAAAAATTCCTAGTAACTAAGCGCAAACCATTTCAAAAAGTAAGAAACACGTATTTCCCGAGCACCAAATATGCCAAACAAATCCGATTCGACAAGTTCAAAAATTAATTAAAAAAATAAAAATATGTATGCTAAAACTAGTTGGAAAATTAACAGGATCAAACAGTTCATTCAGTTGGAAAATTAACAGGGGCAAGTCATTTCAAAAATTACCAAAAAACAAAAATTCCGAAAACCCGGCAAGAATACAAGTGCGAGTGCGAGAACTTATTGTCCGGAAATTAAAATAAATAAGAACAAAACAAATAAGCATTATATCCGGTAATGATAACTTTAAATTATAAAGCTCTTTCGAAAATCACTAACTAAACAAGCTTTAAAAAATGTTAGGAAAATTATTACCATACAAACACAGTAATGTTCCCTAGCAGGTGGGCGTAACTATTCCACAAATTAATCCAAATAAAATAATTATATCCGAATAACACCGACAACTGACTAATTTTGCAATGACTTACCGATATAATCCATGATCCACGCTTCCAGTCGCAGCTCATCGACCATCCCTTTAGCCCGGTCGCCCAGCACAATAATCAAACTGACGGCCGTCTGCAGATCGCCCTGGTTGGCGTGGAACTCCACGGTGTCCTTGACGCGCTCACTAAAATCGATGCAGTTACTGCAGTTGTCCTGCATGGCCAGATTCCCCAGCCGCAGCGCGTCCTCGTACTCGTCCGGCCCCAGGGAGCCGCTGCGGTTGCGGTCACGATCCCCACCGCGACGGATAATCTCCTTGCGATGCGAGGAATCCACGCGGTCGTGCGAGCGATCCGGCAGTTCGGTGCGCACTTCAAAACCCTCCTAAAAATATTCACTTTTTCATAAAACGTTAACAAAGTCATTCAGAAAACAACACTACGCAATAGTTAAAAGAAAATAATCATCTCAAGACTGAAGTGTTCGGAGGGAAACACCCTTTGGTCAAACAAGCTCGAATCGACTACAGTACACCATGAAATCTTCCAGATACCTTTCAGAGCACAATTTTAAAAAAATCAGTGTTCGTGTGTAATAAATGCGATACTTAAACGGCGATACCACGACAAACGCAGTTCTTTGCGTTCTACAGAAAACCAGAAACTGAAAAATTATACAACCTAACTCTGTGAAATTTGTTATGCTGTGAAATCAGCCCACAGCGAATTAAAGCAAAGCGCTACCACGTTAGCCGCAAGAGGTTCAGCGCCTTTAAACTACGATGCTTCAGCAATCCTACTGTACCCTGTGTTCACTTCCCTATAGCGACAATATGATTGGGACAACTGAGTGTCTGACACAAAACCGCAATTAGCGAATATTCTCGAATTCCTGTTGCTTTCCAGAAAAAGCTAAGTCATATTTTTTACATAAAAAAAATTTGAAAATTTCACGCAGATAAACGACAAATCTGGGAATCACAATCAACGACAAACTGACAATGCAGCGGGCTGAAATATCATGCGCAATACAAACAAAGTAAAATTAACACTCTTCTTATGGACACGCACCGTGGGCAGTGTGGGCCAGTGATCCTCGTCATGGATGGTCTCGAACCCGGCGAAGGGCGTGTCGATCTCCTCGAAGACGGTGTACTGCTCGTTGAAGAGGAAATCCCCGGCGCCGGAACTGGGTGGGTCCAGATTCAGCGGATGCGGATCGCGGGCGGAGATGCTGCGCGGCGTGCGGTGGTGCGGATAGCCCGACTCGTAAATGACGCCGCCGTCCCCCATGGAGCTGCTGTCGTCCGTGCGACTGTGCAGATGCAGGTCGTCACGCCCACTGCCACCTGCAATTGCAAACAAAATTGTCAAAAAAGCTAAATGCAACTGCGCGCACAATAAATTTAATATAAAAATAAAATATTAAATGACAAAATAAAAAATCCCAAAACGAAATCTTATTTGAAAATCAACCAAAATAAAACTTCAAAACGCAGACAGAAATCCAAATAAGTCAGAAAATATCAATTAAAAAAGGAAATCACATAATTCGAAAACGCAAACGATATTCTGCAATAGTAAAAAGGATACTATATAAAAAGTAGGAAACGTGCGCAAGTGACGCCGAAATAAATCGAAAATATTAAGCGGAACAAAATATTACAACTTTCCCAACACAGAAATCGAGTTTTTAAAAAAATCAACACAAAGCAAGCGAAATCGCAGCATGGTTGAAGAACATGTAATAAGTGTAAAAAAAATTAAAAAAGCTTCCATAAACCTTGAATAAACCAGCATGAAAAAATAAACGAATTTCGGGAGAGCCAGTGCAACGTACCAACGTTTTGGCGGTAATGTTATAATTATTATTGCACTTCACGTACTTATATGGCGGTGGTGATGCGACGTGGTGGAGCTGTACTGTCCGGTCTTATTCATCCGGCTGTCGCTCATGGAGTACAGCAGGGCCACCACCTGCCACACCAACGCCACCTGATCCCGTCCGGCACGCTGCGCCACGCCAGCGTTGTGGTTGCACAGCTCCGACACGGAGCGGCCCTGCAGCTGGTACTCCTTGGCGCATGTCACAAACCAGTCCATCGATAAGGACTGCAAAGCACACAACTATAAACCTCCCGTCTGATTAAGTAAGCCATTGTTAAATTAATTAACCATAATCATACTGCGAAATTAATAAATTATAACCATACTGTTAATTATTTTTCTATTAAACAATCATTTTTCTTTATCAGAGCAAGGAATATTTTAATGTTCCCGGTGTTCGATTTTTTCCAGGGCGAATACGGCAAATCAGGATTGCAAGATTTAATTTGCTTTTTTTATTTTATTGTTTATTAACAGCGATAACGTATGTACCTGCAGATTTTCATGCGGGTAGAAGTTCAGCTGGCTGCTGCCTTCTTTGGGGAACTCTTCCGCGCGCGTTGTTTTGGTGAACATTTTATCCACGCGCGGTCGCAGATACTTTCCGTCGCCTTTAGCAATTTTCTCGCCACACGCCATGGCCACGTCACCGCTGCATCCGATATCCATACCCACAGGATTGACCTGCCAAAGAATATCGAAGTAAATTCTAAACAAATTTACATTTGCACCAGCTGTAACCAAAAAGCTGGATGTTATAATTTGTGGCTTTTCCCGAATTACAACAAACAGCCTTTCGGTAATTTTTGCTCGTTTAAAAAAAGAAACATATTTTTCAACCACGACTCCACGAGCAACACTTAAACTCAAAAAAGGAAATATCACGAATGAGGAATACAAGCAGAAAGTTTTATCAAATTAATCAGGAAATCAAGGCATCTAGTGACCGCTTCAGAAAAAAGAAAAAATCAAAGACCGCAAACAATCGGAAGACAAATAATTTAATAAACGTAAAATTTTCAGACCTTTGACATTCAATCCATTTTACTGGTATAATCCGCAAATTCATAAAAAAAGAAAAACATCAAAATGGCGCAAAGCAGACACCGGAAACACAAAAAATCAAACAGAAAGGATCGACTGCAAACAAATATCTTTAAAAAAAGGTAAAATTATGAATCTCCGTTTATTGTAACTTGTAACCGAATTTTTCTCGATCACGTGGTGACCCACCTTATCAGCTGGTCGTTTGGCATCCTTAAAGGCAAACTGACTCAGCCAGCCGTCTTACTCCCAGCCAAAATAATATGCGGATCCTCCCGCCACACCAGCGACGTCACGGTGTCCGTGTGCTTCTCGAAGGTGGCAAAGGGAATATACGGTCGACGCAGATCCCACACCGACACGGAGAAGTCGGTGACCAGCGCGGACGAGGCCAGGTAGGGACGACGGTGCGGACGCCAGGCGATGGTGCCCATGGCGGCAATGGTGGGGACCAGGGAGTCCAGGGAGGGGTTCTTGCTGACCTCCGACAGATTCCACACTTTGATGCACTTGTCGCGCCCGCAGGTGGCCAGCAGGTTCGATTCGCCGGGATGGAAGTCGCACTGGAACACCGGGCCGGCGTGGCAGGTGAATTCGCGGATGCAGATCTCGGCGCTCTGTCGGAATAGCGAAAACACCATGGAACTGTTCTTACTTCCAAAACGGGAATTACAAACTATTTAAAAGCAGAAACTGATACATATGTATGTTTTCCTTAGTCAATAAATTTACTAAACCTTCGTTATGTGGTTACCAAATCACGGTAAGAAATTTATAAAAAAACGCACGTTAGTAAAAAACATAAATATTTGAGTAAATACCAAGTAATAAATAAAAAAAACAGAAAATATTATCATAAACATAAAATATTATTAGAAACAAAAAATGCGAAAGTAAGATAAGCATTAAAATCGGAAATACCGAGAATAAATTTTCTTCGCATTATAGTATTGTGGTTGTTAAATAATTCTTCATCTAGGAAATCAGATAAATGCGGTATAACCACTGTCTGTGAATCAAATTTCAGAATACAAACACATTCAAATCAGAACATTCCAGGAATGAACCTTCTGCAAAATACCTACCCGCGAATCGAAGAACTGCACATTGCCATTTTCCAGGCAGACCGCGAACTGTTGTGGATTATGCGGATTAAAGCGCACATCACGAACCGCTTCCTCGCTGTAAAACCGAAAAATAAATACGATGTAGTGCAGTGCCACTGCAAAGTGCGAAGACTATTACTAGTGCACCAGTGTAAAAAACTACGAGTAAAGAATGAATAAATATTGTTACTTACACCTGATCAACCTAAAACAATTTTTTCGTTTTTCGGCAAGCGGTATACCGAACACATACGAGTATTAACACTCGTACAATGAAAGCCCAGCGTGATAAGAAATTACCTGAAAAAAATTCCGCTGACCGGGAGATTACAAAATGCAAAGCACCGTCACCGTCATTTTCTACGCAGTAAGCAAGGAATAATCACAATTCACACATTACCATTTGAAGATCATATGCGGCTTTGCAGTGCGTAAATCGAAGAGTATCGCCGTTGTATCCTGGGAGCCGCTCAGCAGCAGATTCTGCTCGCGTGGATGGAAATTCACTCTACACATCAAAAAGCTCATTACCAAGCAAATTCATTTTTTCATATTATTTTTTTTTAAAAAACCAAACATTCAACTGTCCAATTTCAACATAATGTTTTCTTAAAATCGCAATTTTCGAACTAACACAAAAAGTAAAATTCACATTGTTCAGAATCACAAATAAATCGAATGAAAATTAAGAGAAACAAACAGCAAAAATGAGGACCAACGACTCAGCAAAAAGATAAAAAAATTTCGATGTAGGGCGACTGCTTAAAAATTCCGTTTCGAGGGCATCAACGATTTTACATCAATAAAATACAAAATTTTTTCCTACCCGAACATTTATGACATTATCAGAAAATATTCAGCTGGCGTACCGATTTGCAGTGCGTCGATGTTCCGTGAAGACGACATCTAAAAATAAAAAGTCACAAAACTGAAAATTTTGTCTGCCGGATAAGAAAATTAGAGCAAAACCATATCAAACAGAATCGCTAATACTACAAAAAAATCAAATAAAATAAAAAATATTAAACAGCGGAACACACCATTGCGTTAACCGTAATTTAAACTTGCAGAATTTAATAACCCACAACAGCTATCTACTCAATTTAAACTTGATCATTTTACTTGTTTCCGATTTATAGAATGTAACTTAATTTACGATTTAGGCGGTAATTTAATTTACGCTATTTAACTGTTTCTAGGTGCGTAATTTATACAAAATTCATATGCATATTTTGTAACTTTTGTAATTTTTTTATTAATTTTGTTTTTTGATATCTTATTTACCTTGTCGAACGCTGGAATTATTGGGCAAATTCCACACACAAACCGCTCCCGCTGTTGTCGCCGTGGCCAGAATGGTCTCTAAATCAAAAGCACCCATTTGTTGTCAAGAAAACAACGGGGACCCGGGAGCAACTAGTGAGAATCTTTCAAAATCAAATTGATACCGTCGTTGGGATTCCACGCGACATCGGTGCAGGCGCCATTAAACTGGCTGTTGCGTTTGGATAAACGCAGATTCTCCTTCTCCGCGAACCTCTCCTCTTCGATGCCAAAAATCCGAATTACTGCGGCAAAGTACAGCACCGATGAAGAACTCCATCAGAAATGCGAGAGACCCGAGAATATCAAATTATCTGCGCAACGCAGCATACGTACAGTTTCGTCCAGCTGCCACCACTTGAGAAGCATCACGATTCAGTGCGCTGCAATTTGTATGCACCATATGTTAATAAAACCCAGGTTACCCTAGTCACCAATATCAACAATAACAGCAGATAAAATCAAATGTTGCGATTAACATTGCGATATAATTACAGGGACGGCTTACATCGCCTTGATCGGGCTTTCCAGATTGACAGAAAATGATTTCGGGCTGCTGTTAGTGGAATAGCTCATCTTTGCAGCATGCTAATCATTTGACAATTCAATTTCCGAAATTAGTACAGTAACACTTGCCAGCGGCCAACGATACTTATAAAAGAAAGGAGACACTCCTTTTCAAAATGAAAACAGAAAATCATCATCCAAGAACCGAGAAATCATCTTTCGGAAATACAGCACACTGAGCACACAGCTGACAATTGGGGAAATTTTGCATTCGCAGCGACACGCCGCCTCGGGGTGGTTGGAAACCACATGCCTGTGAGACGCCGGGAAGTCCACCGCAGCCCCAAAGCAGCACGTACTAGTAAGTACCTTTTAAAACAATGCTGCTAGAGCTGGCTAGTTGCTAGCTTGCTAATAAGACAAACCCTTGCAAACCAACAAAAAACTAAGCACTTCAGACTGGAGAAGCTGCAATTTGTTCGGCAAATTATGCGTCAATTGCCGTGATCACGGTAATGCAAAACGTGCGCCTATCTTCACGTGTTACGTAGCGTATTGCAATGGCAACTTCTAAACTGCCTATAGCTGAATGGGTTAATCCACCCGTAGTAGGTCCCGTACCACTATAATACAAGTTTTGATGGTTCGTCGGTAATTGCCCAGATCTTAAGTAAATCACAATCTTACGTAACGCGCGAATTCAGGAACACCATCATCAATTTAATCAAAATCATGGAGAAGTTCGAGCATGTAATCTAAGTGGCGTGGAGAGCCGAATTCTTTGGCGACAGCACTCATTCCTGGGCATCGTACGACTGCGACCTACCGATTTACCGCGATCCACAGATAGCGCAACATTCACACGACTTGCGTTGCCGAGCCAATTGTATCCGTCAGCCAATTGTATCCGTTATATCCGTCAGAAAGACATGAAAAGCGGGGATGGAAATCCCAAGGAACAGCGAAGCAGAACAGCAAATGGCAAGTCAGCTGGACGGAGAGAAGCCCGCCTATTTTTTTCGCGCCTGGCAGTTCCGCTCGTTCTTGTACGATAGCAAGTTCCCATGGACTCCACGGATGCAGTAAAAGGTCTTAGGCGCTTCAAAGGTCAAAGTGCTTCAAAGGTCATGGGCGCAACAATGTGACGGCCTTCCGAATAAGAATTCGCAATCGGTCCCAGTTGTACTCTTCCGCCTGCAGCGCAGTCGATCCTGGTGTTACCGGTCTGTATTTATTAGTTGATTTGGGACTGTGTGATATGCCGGCCACAAAAGTCACGTTCCAGACGCTTCACCGCTGCCGAGACTGTTGACCAGTTCTCTTAACCGTCTTTGTACATGTGGCTCTTAACCGTCTTTGTGCCATACTCTCTGCACATGTCGGCATTTTTGTGGCACCTGTGTCCAGCATCTTCTACGGTCAGACCTTCAAAATGAGAGCGTGTTTTTAATTAGGGTGAAATACGAGTAAAATTCAAATCAGACCTGTCTCAGAAAGCGACTCGACCCCTCTACCCAAAACGGTTCGTCCTTTTTCTTATGTGAAATGTACTTAAAAATTATTTTTATGTTGTAGTCCAAAAGCGATAACGTTGGAATGCTGGCCATTCAGTGCTCATGAGGACTACCCCAGACCTTAACCGGTTTCGACCAAACTTGCGTGACCTTTGCACCCCAGATGCGAGCACTATCGAATTGTAGCTTTTTTCCAACTCGCCGTATAGCTGCGGTGTGCTATTAATGGCTATTTTTGATAAGATCTCGCTTAGAAGGCAGTGAAACCTAACGTAGAGCTGTCTGTTAGCAAAGTAACCTTGCGACATTCCGTCCCGATGAATTACTTAAAACAAACAGCCATGCATAATAAAGCAGCCATAACGGTTTCTGGCTCCAGCATTGTCAGGTTTTTATTCCATTTGTTTGTCACTATCATCTTTCCAGCTGGCGGGTTTCGTGCCGGCTAGCTAGTTACGTATCTGTATAAGCTCTTCAAAACTTACCGTTATCTCATCCCCAAAATCGCAGTTCAGCTCGCTACTGACACATCGAATTGCACCTCTTTTAATAATGTTTGATCCGCAAGAGATATTTACACTAGAAAGCGCAGATATGAATTCAAAACGACACATGAAAATATTTGCTGATTCGTTTTACACAGTTATACAGACTTGGCGTAGCAGGGCCGTATAAGGGCGGCGCTCATGTACTCGTATGTAATCCACAGATCGCTCTGTAGATGCTCGCGTCTACCGGAAGCTCTTGAGCTATGTGTACGGTATATAATTTATTAAAAACTGCCGCAAAGCCATTCAGCCAGACGCCGAAACGATTCGAATACTTCAAAGAATCGTGCGGTGCGGACTTCTTGTACCTGTAGCAGACCTAAACTCCCCTGATCACCATGACGTCCGGAGACCAAGAATACCTCCGTAGTATATTTTTGCCCACTCAGCTGTTCACCACAAGTTTCTGCTATTTTGTAAAGGTGACTAGTGTGATGGCGCGCTATCGTGTCATCGTACACTCTACATTAGCCTGAGGTATGACCTCCGCCGGAAAGAACGTCTGGATGTACCTGCGGCAAAGCTACGAATTGGAAAGACAACCCTGGCGATGAGGCTGAAAGATTTGTTTAACAAAGCAGTGGGAAGCGGAAATGAGTTGTCTGGTTGTGGATCTGTTAAGACTTTCCTGTTCTTGTTGAAATCAAAATATTTTTCTTGTAGTTCTTAATTTTTCTGTTTTTGTCCAAGTATTGTACTGACTATACCAGCAAGTGCCTCGAGGGTTTGTCTGCTCAATGAATAAACTAAACTAAACTAACTAAACTATGAACTACGTACGAAGTTAGATTGGCATGAAACCATTGGTGCGCGCAACATGTTAAGAAGTCATGGGTGAAATAACATTGCGACCGCTTAAACACACGGCGGTGTGCCTAAAGTCTCCTTATTAAATTTGAAATTTCGCACAACCATAATTGTTTCTTTTTACCTCGGTCTTTTACGTAACCAGTGAGCACAGCCAAAAGTATCACGTTTTTACGTCCATGTTTAGTTGTTAGTTGTTGAAGCCGCAATACCAGCAAGCGCCATCATAGCGGCGCAGTTAACACGTTTTAATTTTTTAGCCGAGTACTACCGAAATATAGTCAAAGCTTCTGTGGTCATTTGCCATCAGTAAAGTTACCCGAATAGCCTGATCATTTAATTTTGCTACTAAGTTTTGTGGTTGCTCTATTTTAGGCTCCTAACAGTTGACCAAAACATGTACGACTCATTCACAACAAGCATTCTTAATGCATCCGGTATGATCCATGCACAGTCCGTCAGGCCTTCCGGCGATTAGCTTTGACATTTGAACCTGAAAAGCACCGCGTTAAGTTGACTCAAGCGATACACCGTATAGTTGTACAACTATACAAATAACAGTACTATTGTAAGTAATTTACAGCCTCAGAATGTTGGCAGTTGCACGCCATGTACACAACCGTTGTTATCGGCACACTCTATCTTTGAGAGTGGTCCTAGCAGTGCAGCAGACTGCGGTAAACAGCGATCGAAAGTAAGTACGGTTCGCTGAGTATTCTCGATGCGCTACATGGGTAAGTAGTTGCCGTACACTCAAACACCATAGCTGTTCCAGTTTTACTAGGGTGCAGAAGAGTTTTTAGTTGAGTAATTAGTGATGTGAATATCGTTTTCTCGGAGTAGTTTAACTTTGAAAGATTCGGGAAATATTGCATTGCGCGTTAGAATCTGTTTCCTAATCATGAAAACTTGATTGTAATGAGTAAGCGTGCATAACTGTTAAATCTTATTTAATCTCCATGGCCCTTCAAAAGCACAGTAAGTATTTAATACGGGAAGGATTACGGTATTATGCTTCGGGAGCACTATTTAGTGCAGTAAATTAATGCAGATAAAGTTATACTCCTACGGGCCGGGCTACGGCGCATTCGTCCAAAATTGAAAATAACTGCTCTATGCGAATACGTAGAATAAGTACAAATAGCGTGGTTTATAACTTTTGTTGTTTTTTTCAATTTTCACTATTCTAAGATCAACACAGGCGGACAATACCAACTGGGCAATGTGCTGTATTGCAAATGCAGTAACAGGAATTATTATTGTGAGCGGCAAAATTGTTTTATCAATGAGATGGTTGTTTTAGGATTGGAATATGAACGGCTGAACTTAAAAGACATTCGAACGAGCATTCGTAACGTCGTGGATAGTGAGTTTACACCTGGAAACATTTTTCGTGACAATGTGGTATACTTCGAACGGGATAATGGCGAAAAAATATATAGTCTCGATAGTTGCAAAGATTTTAAATCACTATGGATGGAATGGCGGCAGAACAACTCTAGCAACATAATTTACATACCACCGGAGGTGTTTTTACGCGAATCAGTTGAGGAAAAAAACATAGATAGCTGGACGATCGGATGTTTGTTGGTTCAGCTATTAAACGACTACGCCCCATTACAGCTTGTACGTCATTGGCGATATTCTAAAGAAATCGAATATTTTCGACCTGAAGGGGAAGACATTATGAACAAACTGAAGCAGTTTTATACTGAAGTGCCGAAAGAAAAAGGTCTAATTATTGGTCCACTAATTTCTTTCCCTGAACCAGTACCGATTTCTTGCGAAGATTTCTTAGCACGTTGCCTGGAGCTTGATCCTGGCAAGCGAGAAAGTCTAGATAAACTCAAACTGCATCCATTTCTCGATATGACAAAGTCCATCAATGATTTGCGCGACCTGGACAAAGCGTATTACCGCCAGCCACTGCCAATCACCAATAAGTTCAAGGTTACCAATGTACGAAACCAACCATTTCTAAGGAGTGATCCGGCCGTTACCGTTCAACTTGGCGACTTGCATTACGAAAACGCACCTGGGCTCTCGCAGAAGGCGGTTGACATTTGGCGCTTTACCATGTTCGATGAAAAGAAAGATGGCGATTCGTATACTAAAGCATTCGGTAAACTGCTGCATGTTTTGGATTTGGAAAACAGCGGTGACACTAACTCTAAAGAGCGCACCAGTTTTTATGGAATTCGTGCTCTACAAAAAGGACATGAAAATATTGTTCACCATTTCGGTTGCCAATTTAAGACATCCGGCACCGCGTTTGCGCTCCCAGAGTTTCAAGTGTTCGCGGAACATTGCCCAGGTTAGTCGTAAAAATCACCAACGCTTTGCCCATCATTGCATTGCCATATTATCTGGGTGTTAAAGCAGTGATGTAATGACGCGATGACGTCGCTCAACTGGTGTGCTAAGGATAAAAACTATCTTCTCCTGCCTGGGTACCGTCTGGGGCACTCGTTAATTTCATGCTCACTATCGTGCCGACCGACACCTTGCTGGTGACTTTTCACTGACCGGCAAATTGTTTACCCGACATTTTGTTGAAACGACAACTAAAATGAAACAAAACTATGATCGGCATGTTGCTGCTAACGACATTCTGTTGACATAAGAAAACACCAGAAGCACGAGAAACGAATACGAGAGCCTTAGAACAACCAAAGAATAACATAAAGATGACAAAAAAAGCAATTCAAAAAATTTAGGAAAACCTACAAAAACGCATCAAGAAACCTAAAACACCGAAGACAAAACACCAGAAAGCCAAGAAGCCGGGAACCAAAAACCCATTAAGCAAGCTGTCGGTCAATAAAGTAGTTTTTGCAAAAAGTCAGACAGCATAATTGTAGAAAATCGTATTGTCGGACAGTAATCTGTCGGGCATCAGGTTGTGTTAATCAGCAATATGTCAGTCAACAAATTGTCGGGAAGCAAAAGGGGGGTCGGGGCAACTGAAGTGCAACCCTAAAGGCACCAACTGGCACCTCATGCTGGTATCGTTCCTGTTGCATCGAACCATGTGTTAATATGCATATATACCATTTAGACTTTGACGTTGCATTAGTATAAAACAACTGGGGAAGGTATGCTTTCTGGTTCTGGCTGGGTTTGCCGATAAGTTTCCAGAAACGCCTTTCCAGCTCTGTTTACTACGATTTAGACAGTGGCGCTTCTATCGCATAAATAGTGATTTTCAATGCTTCGTATTTTTCCATAACACGCTTATGTGAATCGAATTATGAGTTGCGATTTCACAGTTCGACTACAATTCAATTACGCTTTGCTAAATAATACAAAATAATAATAATATAAGCGTAATTTTCTTTGCAAATCTGCTCTTACGATGCTTACGTATTGAATAGGTACTTACTACGTGTAGAGTACCCAAGACGCCAAGACCTACGATCACAGACATGAGACATCGTATTTTTCGGGATAAAGCAAGCGCGTAGAACGTAAGGGTCAGCAGCTCTTTTCGCGTTATGGTCTTTGCAGAACTAACTTCCTGAGATTGCTTTTCTGCAAGTTTCCGTGCATGCCCTTGATGTCGTTCTCGCACCAGTTTTTTTCCCATTTTTTACTTCGTTAGTTATGATTTCGTATCTTTTGTGTTTCTTAGGTGGAACATTCCAAGAGGCTGCCAACTATTATTTACCAATTCAAGTGGTTCAAAAGTGGCTTCGTTCGATGCTCTGCGGATTAGAGTTTTTGCATAGCCATGGAATTATACACCGCAACCTGAGCAGCGGCATGGTGTTTTTCAGTGAGGCTGGTTTTAAGGGCACCGTTAAGATTGGAGGTTTCCATAATATGCGACAACTGGAATCAGAACGCACCACAAGACATGAAATAAGTGCTCGACCCGGGCTTGACGGTCGTTTTGTTGCGCCGGAAATAGTTAATTCTTACGACGGTGACGTCAACATTGGGCGCAAGAGTGATATTTGGAGTTTTGGCTGCGTCGCTTTGCATTTGCTCAGTGGCCAGCCGCCTTTGTACACAGGCGCAAAGGACAAACCAATTGCAATTGAAATGGCTGTTCTTTATCATTTGAACAGTACAGTCGAACCTCTACCGCACTTCCCGGAATGGATACCGATTCGTATAAAGGGCTTCCTTAAAGAGTGTCTAAAATTCCAACCGGAACACCGCCCAACCGCCTCCGATATTCTAAAAAACGATAGTGTTTTTCCGCTTCCTGACTCTGCTTCCATTAACAAGTACGATCAAAACCGGTCAGTAGGACCTAAGCTAGACGGAAGTATAATTACCTACTGGGAAAACTTTCGCTGCTGATGCTATGCAACGTTGATTTAACATTTCAAAAAACCTGCTGCTTGCTGTGTTAAAGCGTATAAATCCGATATCACCTTTCACTTTTACAGTGCTATCGACTTCAGCCATCATTGCCCTTTTCATGAAACCGTGCTGGCTAAGGACGGCCGCAATAAACATAAATTTATCGAAAACGTAAGGCTCTATAATATTGTAACAATACACTCTGCGGAATCAGAGCACAGAAAAAAAAGGACGGCTATATAAAATTCTGGCGTAAGGGACTACAAAATTAAATACGTACATAAGGTTCCTGACCAGAGGTCGCCCACCGGCTCACCCCTCGAAAACGTGTCCACTTAAACGTTTCTGAGGGGTGAGCTTATTCATTCTTAGGTTTCTGAGTCTCTGTATATTCATTGCCGAAGCGATAATTTTTGAAGTCTGTTGTAATGTTTGTTTGTCTGCCTTCATTCAAAACATCGGTTTTTCCTGAGTGGTGGACCGCTAGACGGTCTCTGGTGAGTGCGACTGTGACCATTCCTTAATCTGCACTGATGCCAGTTTTGAACCACAGTAAGCTTCAAGAATTTTAAAGCATTATTAACTGAAGTGCAGATAATAGATATTGCCGGATTCCACATAGTAAAGAAGCAGCGGTTCTTCCGTATCCTATTGCTGCTACTAATGTCCGCTCGCCTTTCTTGTTGTCTACTTTTTCGAGAGTTTGCATAATGCGTCGTCACGCTTCTTGAAACGGTTACGAATAACCGTTTGGCATAATGGAATGTAGAGAGTAACTGTTATGTTTTCTACAGAGAAGAGCTTTAACAAAAGAAAAATGTTTGAATTGTGCTAAGCTTTTAATAAGAACGAAGAACGAAGTCACAATTGGCAAACGATAAAACCGCTTTTTTTCCTAATACTCTCAGGATTGCACTGATGCCGTTTCGTAACGTGATTTTGCTCTGCTTGAACGTCATAAGGCAGCAGCACAGCAATCATGAGGGCAGCAATACAAGAGCAGGAATATCGAGTCCACCTGACCTGTTTTGTTAAAATCTTATCACTCGGTTTCGCTAGCTGGCACATATGAAAGCTGATGCAGCACTGAGTGCGAATTACCCACTTTTCTGTAATTTACCCATTTGTATGGCCACAATGTATCGTTTCCACAATTTTGGGGTATGCAGTCATACACTCATACTATGGGGTAACCCGATTTTACCCAAAATAGGTGGGGTGCGCCCGTTATCCCCGCCCTTGTACTAATTCAGTGCGAATTTATTCTGTGTGCGACTGCACAATGAACAGAAAAACTGTCGATACTCTCTAATACGTATTAATGTTATTATGTAACGACCCTGATGTTACGTTCCGACGTATGAAAACATGTGCCAATACAACTGTCGTAAATAATATCTAAGTGGGTTTAAGTGGTAAATAATATTTAAGTGGGTTCCTGTTTACGGAACGTTTCTTTTAGCGGTTCAATTATTTTGGTTCATGACTGAATAAAGAGCACGAATCCCACATAAATGACATGCCCAGCAGCGTCTTGTTCAGACTTTTGTAGATTTGTCATCGTAGTCTGTAAGAATTCCAAACAATTTGCCAGACATTCCAAACAATTTCCCTGTACCCACCATTTAAATTTCGCTTCCGTGTACTTATACAGCCTATAACAGTGCATCTTTCAGGCTACGCAGTTCATCGCTTAAATCGGTTGCTGCCATCCTCTTCTCAGGGTCGTAATCCAGGCACCGTCCGAGGCATATGGCTGCCTGTTTCCATGCCTCCGTCCGTAAAGGAATGCTGGACAAAACGGACGAGATGTAATCCGAATCGCGGTCCATAATTTTCTTAACAATATACAGGTCTGAAACTTCGTTGACCTTCTTTTTATGATCCGAATGAATATTGTCTCCGACTGACTCTGGAGAGTGGCATGCTGGGTGAAGTTTTATCTCATACTGACCTTCAATAAATAAAGCTAAACGCAATATAATATATCCCATGCTCCAAATATCACTTTTTGTCCCAATGGTTTGCATCTTGTCACTCAGTCCTAACCGCTCTCGTAGCAATTCGGGTGACATGTATTGATAGGTGCCAATTCCACCGGAACTTGCAGCATGCCCACCAATTTCGATAAAGTCGTCCAAATCTCCTATCAGCATTTTCATGTGACCGTTTGCCAGATGTTTCATTAACACATGCTTAGGCTTTAGGTCACCATGCACTATTTCGCATTTGTGGAGATAAGAGAGGCCTTCTGTAATTTCTATCGCATACTGAAATGCTGTTCTCCATTGAAGCCGACCACCATTCTCCTTAATTTCTATTAGCAGAAACTCTAAGTCACCCCCTGCAAAACAGCAAAACCCGATACTTTAAATTCTGGTGCTCGGTACTCTGCCGGTACTGGCAGGGTGTAAAAGGTGGCAATGGCACCTGCCACTGCCAATTGCCACCGGCGATGGCTTGTGCCATTTCGCGAGTGGCAAGCGGTAAAACATGGCAGTTTTTAGAATTGCGGAAATACCTGGAAATGATTCTTTCAATAAGAAAAGCTATTGTAAAGTGAAAGAGATCTCATACAACTTACCTTTGAGTACTCTTCTCTACCGCGCCTACCAAAGCAGTGCACGCTGCAACGTATAACACTCTTAACACACTATACAACGTATAACGTCGTATAACAGTCTTAAGCGGAGTTACTACTCGTTTGCACCCCTTTTGCTAGAAAAAAAGCCATGAAGGTCTCGTAAACAGTTCCATAGTGTACGTTACTGCTTTCAATGCTCAGAACATTGAACTACACTGATTTAAACTCAAAATGTGCGCGCAATAACCGGCTGTTGTGCTATCACGGGAAAAAGTTTAAAAAATCAAACGCGTAAAATAACTCAGCTATCTACCGAACTTTATGAAACTTTCCCATATGATAGAACCACATATGAAGGACATTCTGAACCGATATCATGATGTAATCATAAAAAACAAAAGTGCAGCGAATTTTCAAATATTTTAAACTCGTATAACTCGGTGAATTTACTTCGGATAACCTTTATTTTGGTTCAGAATGTGTACAGGAATACACTCCATAAGATGAAAATAATTGTCAAACTTAAAATCGGAGAAAACGCTGAGTTATTTGATCAGTATTTGTAACTTTGTCGCAGGGGCGACCAGCTGCGACGCCCGAAAACGGACAAACCGAAAGACAACAGAAACGAGCAACCGTGCGAATTTTGTTGTGAGCAACCAGAACCGACCGGAAACATACTATGCCGCCTCTCTCTATATCGGTGCGGTAGCGCCGATATATATACGAACAGACACCATGCCCGGAAGGGCAGAAAACATAAGAAAACATGACACAACACATATGGCACGGGAACTGCTCGTGACAACTTTGAGAAATTCAACTTTTTGTGTTGGGCCAGATAGGCCGTGCGAGTTTTGTTGTGAGCAACCAGAACCGACCGGAAACATACTATGCCGCCTATCTGTTTTTGTGTTGGGCCAGATAGGCCGGAGACCAGACTTATTCTTGGTGCGACTGCTGCGTATCCTGTTGTGTTGTGTGTATCCTGCTTCGTATCAGGTCACGTATTGTAAGGCCCCTAATTGTTTCCAGTTTGCCTAGCACCTTCAGCAGCTCTGCAGAGTCTGCACGCTATCGTCAAGTAGTTTGTTTTTCGTCTGTAGTCTGTGTGATTACTCAGGGGCACTTCTCGAATTTATTAAGAATTCTTAGGTTTCATAAGTTTCTCAGGTTTTCCAGGTTCGCTTAAGCTTACTTTCCAGCTCCTTAAGATAATCTTATGTTTTCATAGTCCTTTTTAGAGTTTTTTTACGTTTTCTTTAGTCTTTTCAAAGTTTTCTAGATTTCCGGTTTTTTTAATTTTTAAAATGTTTACTGATATTAAATTTTATGAGTTAAAACTTAGACGTTTACGGGCTATTCCATATCATCAACATCTAATAAATTTGTTGCAAATCGAAACAGCATACATCTCTCGAAAATTTAGACATCAGTGCATTTGGTTACCAACGGTTAGTGATTATAAATATTTTCATTACCAGTAGTGTTTTGAAAATTACGATTAGCGATACCAGACACGACTACGACTCCCTTACATCACTCCTTTACATGTCCCTTACATTAGGCCAGCTATAAAACGCTACGAATCTAATAAGTCTGAGTAACGAGAAAAACTCAGAAAACCTGCAAAACCAAGAAAAGATAGGAACCTTAAGAAATTTAAGAAACCTAAATATGCGGCGACCAACGGCAGGTGGTCGAAGTGGAAGGATAGCTAATGCAGTCTCGTAAGCTTATTTACTGAATTGAAAATACGATATCTTGGCATTTTCCACTTGCCATGTTTTACCGCTTGCCAGTAAGCTGCCACTGCCAGTGGCAAGTGCCACTGCCACCGTTTACACCCTGTTCTCAGTACCAATTATTTAGTAACAGAATACGATTGTTATTTCGATATAATTATTCGTGTTCGCACCATCACAGTAATCCATCGTATGGGAAGTCGTGACTTTCTCGATGTCTCTGCTTATGGAATAACTGAAGTAGGAAACGATATTCTCGTGTTGTAGCTCCAGTAGCACCTCAAATCTGCGGAACGATTCAGCATAAACTTCCGTGACTCCTGACATCCTTGGATTCGACGCTTCGGCATCCTCTTCGGTATTCCCGGGACTCTTTGGATTCAGCGAACGATTTTTTTCAATAATTTTAATCGCAACGTTTGTGCCATTTGCGGTGCTGGCTTTGTAGACTTTGCCAATGGCGCCCGCTCCAATTGGCATAGTTTTGGTATACTGGAAACAAGCAATACCATTCGCTGATGGTTTTGTATAACCTGTTGCTTAAAAAACTGCAGTTAACTGACATACTTGAGAAGACTTCAACATGATTGGTGAGAGCTCATCTTCAGTTTTCCTCTGTAATGTCGTCAATACTGATGCGTCAGGGCCTACTTCATTCACGATAAATGGATGAAACTGTAGACTGTCACAAGTAGGCCTGTTTGTTGACGGTTGTACGAAGCATGACTGCACGAAGTTGAGCCCGCCCGCATTGTCGAACAGAATGCGGCTGTAATCAGGTTGGGCGTCTGTTTCTGTGAGCTGGGCCAGGTTACGTACAAATCCTGCTAATCCACTAGTGGAACCAAACTCATGTGTTTTTCCATTTTTTTTGGATACCCATGCCGGCGCTATCCCTCTTTGGTACATTTCAATCACCGTGCAGCCCAAACTAAAAATATCCGTTGCTGTTCCTACATTGTCCTTTTGACCACTTGGTGAAAACGAAAGTAGCTCTTGCATTTCTTTGGATGCAAACTGCGCAGAACCTTCCGGATAGGACACAAAGTTTCCCATATTCGAGTCGAAATTATGGTATGCAGCTTTCTCAAACCCCGTGATTTTCAGTAAACATCGATCTTTCAAGTGCTCAGTTTTTCTTTTAAGTACATTAAAGCATCGGATGTCTTTATGTACAATATTATGCCTGTGCAGTATTCTCAGTCCTTCAAGAATTTGTCGAGTAATGTTAGGGATAAATGATTTTTCAAAAGATTGTCGTGAGCTTAGGCAGTCTGACAATCGCTCATAGGCATCTGAAAAGAGAAAACGCTCAAAAATCGTTTGCCCTTTCCTTTCGTATTTTTTTATATAGTACATAGCTGTCTCACTGTCACTGGTCAAAAGTGCAGTGAACTACTCGTTACACAGTGTACAGCATAAATAAATCAACACTTACCGGGCGTAGCAAACCTCGATTACAAATTTACGTTAAAGCTAAGATATGCCACACAGGCAACAACCAGGCCTGTTATACAAAAATGGACAAGTGCAGTAACAGGGATTCTGGTCCTACCGTTTTTCTCGTAATCTATCCAAAAATATTGCGCCAGTGGCAAACTAGCAAAAGGTTATGGCAGCGCAGCTGGCGACAAAATATTTAAGGGAAACATGGCCGAGGTGATTCCGCAACGCAAACAGTCACCAGGAACTGGGTTATGGCTTCATACTTGTTATTTCACAGAATAAAATGCCCTAATTTCTTGTATCTTACCTCCGTGCTCCGTAAAGACATGTATTTCCAGCAGGTTATCGCATAACACCGACGTAACATGTAAGTGCTGAATTATATGCTTGGTCCTTCGTGCCACGTCTTTTATGAGCATCTCATACATTCTCTTTTTATTTGCAAATACAATTTCATAGTCGCTGTCCCCGGTACTCCGTGAGGACACGATTGTAACGTCGCAATCGCAGGTCATGGTACCTTTTGCCATTTCCGGTAGCGTGACTTTCTTAAGAAGATCGTACTGTCTGCGTTCTTGTTGCTCTACATCCGTTAAAGTAACAGCTTGCTGTTGAGGCAAAACTGAGTTTCCATCCGTATTCACCTGGACGGGTAACAAGCTGTACCGTTCTGCGTGAAACCGTTGCTCTTCTGCCCCAACAAATTTCGGCCTTCTTGGGCAAAATAGATAATAGTAGGAAGTGAGCAGCATGTCCAGAAGCTCCGAGGCAGATGAGCGTTCGCTAACGTCTACGGCCAGGCAACCGTTCAATAAGCTTAGAAATTCAGACGAAATATCGACCGAACTGCCTGCAAACGTCTTGGGTTGCTGTGGTCTGTAACCATGTCCAAAATACCGATGCACACTTTGGAAACTATCTGACATGGCGTTTGGTTTTATTACGTCCTTATCCGTTCTGGCAAATACAGGAGGTTGACCTTTCTGCATCATTTGTATTACCACGCAGCCGAAGCTCCAGATGTCCGTTTTCCGTCCAACATAAGAAGGCTGGCTTTGCAGTCCAGCCGATAGTGCTGCCATCTCGGGTGAGACAAATGGAACAGTGCCTGCCGCGTTTCTCAAAGTGCTGGGCGGTGTCTGCGTTCCATCAAAATGTTTTATCATCGTTAGACCTATTATCTTAAGCGTTTTTGTGGCCGCCATAATGATAAGATTTTCCCCTTTTATGTCTCTGTGAATGATTTGGTGACCATGAAGAAACCTGAGTCCTTCCAGTATTTGCCTTGCAAACACGATAACTTCGTTTTCGCTGACTGGAACGCTTTTCGTTTTCATATGCTCATCCAACGGCACGCCTAAAACAAACAATTTTTATTCTAAGAAATAAGCTAGATTGCAGCAGCAAATCTATTAACTAGGAAAGTGCGCTCGCTTTTTGCGGGCACTGCATGACCGAAGCGTAGCAGGAATATGTGTCTAAATTGGAATAGTTTGGGCAAAGCCTCTAATGGTAAAGCAATTTGAGCTATTTTCACAACAGCACTACCAGATTGCCAATGTAATCGGGAAAGCCGTCTATGTAACAGAAAATCCGTCCACTGCTCTAATAACTTTGTTTTCGCAAGCGAATGGTTTTTTTAAATGTAACTTCTGCTATACCAAACAGATATCATGTTGTTTTATTTTAGAAATATTGTTGTCCCTGCTAGACAAACTTTTCTACTCTAGATGTTGCAGTCTTTAACACCGGACGCATGTGGTATATAATATTTCAACAACATCTCTCACATCCCAGGTTTTTTACGGTTACTCTGCAAGAACAATCCCGTCTTGATTAATAATGCGATGTTATCACTTTTGTTAGGCAGTAACAGCACTTGTGGAATGGTCCAAAAGGTCACACATTATTCTTTACTACGGGGCAGTCATCTCAATAATTTTACCAATGGTGGCCAACGAGTTCCCATTCTAGCGATCGTATAAAGGATAAAGCCAGCAAAAACATCTGCTGGGCGTTTTTGCCGGTCCGGTTCTCTCAAAATTGATGCAGTTGAGATCATATACACGCAATAAGAATTTAAAGCCGCTAGGAGAGAGGGCGGGTCCAGTAGCTTTGCCGGTAGGACTTTTTGTTTTGTCAAATGGTCTACCTCTGTCTGTAGCCTTGACGGGCAACGTTGACAGGATATTAAACTTATTAATGTTATTACAAAATCCTGGAAGAGAAAAATTTACGTACGACGGATTTTTTTTTAACCGACTGATGGTTCTGTCAGTCCCAAGCGCATTGTTAGCATTTGGAAAACAGATTCGAAATGTTTCCATCACCACAATTTTTATAGGTCATGAGTGTATGTGGCTACGGTGCCCATCCTTTTTTAGATCAGATGGTGGTGACCAACGAACTGGCAAAACAAGTTACTCGGGGTGCAAGCGAGTACGGTTACCGTGCTTGTGTATTTGTCCTTAAGGTTTGTTGGTGGCAGTGACCGACGAACGGACATCGCCAGTTACATCGGATGTGACTATATACGGCCACCGCGCACTGGTGCATCTCTTCCCACTGCCACCGTGCATATGTGCATTTGGTGGCGGTGACCGACGAACGGACATCGCCAGTTACATGGGATGTGAGTATATACGGCCACCGCGCACTGGTGCATCTCTTCCCAATGAACCGTGCATATGTGCATTTGGTGGCGGTGAACGACGAACGGACATCGCCAGTTACATGGGATGTGAGTATATACGGCCACCGCGCACTGGTGCATCTCTTCCCAATGAACCGTGCATATGTGCATTTGGTGGCGGTGACCGACGAACGGACATCGCCAGTTACATGGGATGTGAGTATATACGGCCACCGCGCACTGTTGCATCTCTTCCCAATGAACCGTGCATATGTGCATTTGGTGGCGGTGAACGACGAACGGACATCGCCAGTTACATGGGATGTGAGTATATACGGCCACCGCGCACTGTTGCATCTCTTCCCAATGAACCGTGCATATGTGCATTTGGTGGCGGTGAACGACGAACGGACATCGCCAGTTACATGGGATGTGAGTATATACGGCCACCGCGCACTGGTGCATCTCTTCCAATGCACCGTGCATGTGTGCATTTGGTGGCGGTGACCGACGAACGGACATCACGCTTCCCATTAATTCTGAACATAGAGGACCTCGCTACGCTTCGGTCGACAAGATAACAATAAATTTATTACCTTTTTCGCGTTAAATTTGTCCACTTAACAGTTATCATGTTTCAGCTTTTTTAATAACGTTAATGCAATGCACACGCTGCGCGCGCGCTGTTCGTAAATTCTGTAGTTCAAGATGTGTGCGCGGCTACGGTAGTCAAATCTGGAAAATGTCGAAAGTTGTGCGTCGTAGGTTTTTCGTGTCGATTTTTGCTTTATTAATTTAATTCATCTGTTTTATCTCGCCTCGCATATTGTGGCAAAATTAGCCGTAGTTAATATTCAATGAAATTAAACCCGTCAGTTGTTCTGCGTTTAAGAAAAGAATTAGTTTAAAGAACGTAAATTAGTTAAATATTGTCCAATCGTGGCTATGGAAAATCGTTAAAGCAAAGCATGGGGATTACCTATAATACTCGTATTATGGGTCCTTACCTGCGCAGTCTTCGGCTAGAATGTAAAAATTCCGTTGCGCGCTTGGCTTTGGAAATGTGTAATCTATTCCGTAATAGCACTGCACGGCATCGCTTTTTATACCATCGACGAAGAGTTTAACAAGCGGCAGTAAATCTGTTCTTAATTGCTGGAAATCCGTTCTCGAATCGCTCCCTGAGGTTGTTCTTACTGTCAGTTCGGCAGCCGTAGGTAACGCGAACTTCATAGTTGCCAAATGCTTAAAACCGGAGTTTTCGAATTGTAGATCTGCCTGACTACCACATAAATGCAAGTCCGTCTTCTCATTCGCCGTTGTCTTTAGCGTTACACGGTATCTTCGGAAATTTGCTGGCGAAAGCTGCTGTTGAAACGCACCAGCATAAATCGATGCCATTTTCAAATCTTTAGTACCAAAACTGATTTAAATTTTAGTTTCTTGTTAAACGCTGTAGAACTTCGTTTTTTGGGGCCTATAAAAGTGAACTATTTTGTGACAATCAGCAGCGAATAAGCGTAAATGAATAATCAAGAAGTTAAATCTATTTCCGGCGCTCATAAAGTGCGCACTGGAGTATATTGTACTTCATCGTTGTTGAAGAAATCGATATGTTCAGCGCTAAAAATTGCATACTGATTGTGCGCACTGCGTACCGAGTGTACACAGCTTGAGGCATGTAAGTGAGCGCGCACCAGTTTTCCATGATGCAGAATGTTTGTCAGAAGCAAAGTCCATCGGAATGCCGTTCAGCCCGGCAGTTTTAGAGTTCTAATATTTGTGCAGCTGATAAGCGCACGCAAGGTTTTGGTGCGCACCAGTAAATTTAAAAACCGTACTCCACGTAGTAGTACAAATAACTGGCTTTAAGACCTCACCATACTTGCTTTGAAAAATTGTTTGTATGATGATATTCTCAATAATTTAAAAACCGTACTCCACGTAGTAGTACAAATAACTGGCTTTAAGACCTCACCATACTTGCTTTGAAAAACTGTTTGTATGATGATATTCTCAATAATTCTGATGGTTGTTTGGAATTAACAAATTTATTGTGATCAAAGTGGTCGGCCAGTTAGCTGTATAATACCTATTCCTTGGAGGCCGGACGTCGTGTATAACCAGCAAGAGCTCTATATTTACACGCTACCCCAGAAGTATTATATGCCAAATTTTAGAAGATGGCCTGTAATACATCTGCGGCTCCTGACGGACTCAACCAATCCGAATTGCTATGCCCTCTTCCTCGAAACATCACAAAGTGAGCGTAATTAATATGCTGAAGTTCGTTCGTAATTATGCCAACTCTTTACTATCTGTTACGCCGGGACGATCTACCGTACGAATAAAGCAGCAATGCATACAAAGCGAGATAAACGGACAACGTGTAATTATTATCTGCATAAAGAGCGCTAGTAATATATCAGTTACCTGTTGCAGCTTAAAGGATGTTGTGTATTACCCGTGGACGTGTTATTACACTTCGTCCATCCTAATTTTTTCCTTCCTTGGGTTAGTGGCGATCGTCCATCACTTTATTGCAGCTCGTGCTGAAGCCGGATGCAATATCAGCAAGAGACACTTCACTCGAGCCTTTACCCGACTATGGCGGGATGGAGATATTCGAGGATTTTGCGTGTTTTGTTTGAGTATGAGGTCGCTGGCCATCAATTTCTTCGTTCCATACATGTCAATCAACAACGCGTAAGGGAATCAGTTACTAATGTGATCATTTCATTTGCTCACACCACACAAGTCTAGCACACGGCACTTTGTGCAGTATTTGCATGACCACATATTTTTTAACATTTTCACTATTGAGTACGAGTTTACGAGTTTTACTTCTTTACGTATCGTAATTTTTATAATTCCTAACAAGTACTTACTATAGTGTGAATAGTAAGTTCTACTGTAGTTATACAGCTATACTTAGTTCTTGTTCCTAATTAAGTCACCGTCCCTAATTAAGCATCAAGCTGACTTTTCTCTGATTCAGTCACCATCAGTGCCAAGGATCTCGTTGCAAAATAGTTAACTAAGAAAAAAATAGAAAACATTTCACAATTGAAATACTTAGGCAGTGCGGAAATCTTTTGCAACGAAATACTGTAACTGTGCTGTACTGATTATGATAACTATGTTATGCTAACTGTTTCAACATATGCATGTGTTATAACGGCCTCTGCAAGTTTCCCAGCGCATAAGAGCAAAAAGAACATCCACAGCAAACTTTTTTCACCTCAATCTCTTTTTCTCCTTTTTGCGGAGATCCGTTATAAACTATAAACCGGACACTTGGTTGGGTTTCTCAATTTTATCCGGGTACTCTGTGTGGTTAGGATACGAATCCTAATCGGAAAATCAAATTGACTCGCCAATCAGTGTCCGGGATGTATCGATGTCGACCTTTCATATGTCCGGTTGGAAGCGGTATGCTGACCAAAGTGGAAATAGAATCACACTCTGATTAAACCCAACCAAGGCATTTGTATCAGGGGCGTAATATCGTTGGAAAAACGTTTTCCCTGCAAAAATGTGTGGGAAAAGGGGAAGTCAAATTCCAGAACGTTGCCACCCCCGTATTTACGCCCTTGACTTGAACTAAATTTTTATTACTGATAGTATTAAAAATAACTGGGTGGACAGCCATTATTTTCTAGTTCCTGGACGGTGTGATCGTCTAACGATCGACACCTTAGTCGTCCTGGAGTTTTGTTGCTCGATTCGGTAACCATTAAACTTTTTTATGTTGCCATTGCATAGAATTCTAAACCATGGATGGTGCCGCACCCCTACACAGGATAGCCTACATTGGACGAAACGTGACCTTGCCGTGAACTGCTGCCTACTAATTCTCCTGTTGATCAAGCCATTTGAAGTAACTGTAAGTCTGTAAGCGATGATTGCCAACCTTTTTGAGCAAATACAGGCCTGTTTCACAACGAAGTCAAGTACACCTGTGGAACGTTTCGTATAGAGGTCTCAAACCGTACGAAATTTTCTTACGATTACGTGCGGTTTTACCGTACCGTTTTACGGCTACGGTGCTCTTATGGCAGCCATGTTCTGCATCTGTACGGTTACGGCACAAAAATTTTCCAACCCATTACGGTACGGTACGGTAAACTACGGCATGTTTATTTTAAGTTTTTTTCGACATATGAAACATTCTTTTCGACATGTTCTAAAATTGCAAATAACTTCACTCAGATTCTCAGAATACCGAGTTAATCCTTAACTGTGAAGAAATTCTTTCAATCCACTCATGTACTAACAACTTTTATTAGCCTGACCTATCAGTTAATTTCAGTATCGAGATATGGTGCTTTCGACTGACGCATTTTAACTGCTGCAGTTAAAATGCGTCAGTCGAAAGCACCATATGTCGATACAATGTTTTACAACAACTGCAGCGTTTTTAATGATGTCAGCAACACGGTGATGGAGCCCGTGGCCACTCGCTTACTTTACATGTGAATTTGCAAATAGTCACTGTGACGAGCGCTGAAACAGCATCACTGCATGCAATTGTTTCGTTTAAGGCGAGAGCGAAGCTGCGATAAACGTGAACCGGATGTCTGGCACCAACTTTTGTTTACCTTTTTATTTAAAAAGTGCCGTGCCGTCACTTACCGTAGAAAACCTTTCGTCCGGTTACGGTATTACCGTAACTAGTTTAAATACGGTTAAGTACGGTAATTTTGTTACCGTACTCATTTCTTATACGGATCCTTACGGTTTGACCATACCGTATACCGTATACGGTCATACCGTATACGGTTTGCGACCTCTAGGTCACTTTCGTACCAAAGAAAAAAAGGTGAATCGTTTTTTCACTCCTTGTAGACATCTCTATACATGCTGTAGACACCCTGTTGACCTATCGGTAGTCACCTGGTTTCTTAGGGTGTATACAGCGTGTCTACAACGGTGTCTACAGGTTGTCTACGGATATCTACCGCTGTATACAGGCAGCCCTTCTTAGGTTCAGCTCGATACTCTGCCTGTATACACCGGTAGTCACTTGTAGACATCCCGTAGACACCACTGTAGACATACTGTAGTCACCTGGTTTCTTAGGATGTATACAGGTTGTCTACAGGTTGTCTACAGATGACTACAGTGACTACAAGAAGGAAAAAAACGTTCCAGTTTTTTTCTTTGGTACGAAACGTTTCATATATACGAGGATACACGCAGTAAAACCGACAGCAAATTTTTTCAGCCGACCAACCGACAACCGTGCATATAGTGCAAGCGACTGGCAGCCATCCACGGATGACTGTCACCTGTAACATGCATACAGTGCAAACGATTCCTCCCTTCTACGGGTGGCTGTTATATGGAACAATAATCTGCTTGTGTGCATGCTTGTCGGTTGGTCTCGCTGAAAAAATTTACTGTCGGTTCGACTGCGCGCATCCTCTTAGTTACACCAAGGAAACACCAGCTATAATTCAGAAATACCGAGAAATTATCGCAGTACAGGGGCTCTAATTCTGTGAGTGCCGCAGCAACATACACATTTTGCGCAAAACTTGTCTACGAAGTGGCATGGCGTGCCTAAGCCGACCCAATGGCTCGTTTCCGTGTCTCATTCCCATTTTCTCCCATTTGCAGCCGTGGCTTTGCTGTGAAATGAGGTCTTTGGAAAGCATACAACACTAGTACTAGCAGCAAACGAACACGAAATTCAGACCGACTTATACTTATGACATTTTGAACACAGTCACAATAATTAAAAGCAGCTCCAGCGCCACAAAAATTACGTGCGCGAAACGCTGTACCACGCGTGAATTACTTGGAATTCTGGACGAGTGCAGAGCGACTGCGAATTAATTAAGTACCGTATATGCACGCTGCACATCGATGTTTTAAGCTGTTAAAAGATTGTTGTATGTTTACTCAAAGTCCGCTTGAAATCAGGAAAAAAGCGAAAGCTTAAGATTTCAAAATTAGCTTTGATTTAACCGACTGTGTTGTTATATAAAGTCAGCTTTCTTCTGCTCTGTACGTTGACAATAGGATACAGATGGTCAGATTACTCAGATAGAATATAGCCTGCTTAATTTTACCCGTAATTTTACCTGCCATTAATTGTACCTGACTTACCTGCGTTGATTTTATCAAAAGTTTTTAGGTTACTATTCTATTTGCAGTTGCAAGCTACATTCCGTTTTCTCCGGAAATGTCTGTGCTGCCACTACCACGTTGGACTAATCGACACATATAAAAATTTTAAAGATCGAGACTATCTAACATCGAACCTCTGGCGTGCCTGCAAGGACTGGGAATTCGTGGCTGCCTGTGCCAATCTGCCGCTTATTGGGTTGCAAATTCGTGAAATGTGCTACGGTGTCGATTGCAACAAGCCAATCACATACTGGAACATGTCGCTGACAAGTAGGTGCAGTCATTCCTTGTTTTTCCGTAAAAGCACTTGTTAGCAGTAACGAAATAACCATCCCTTTCAGACTTGCAGTTTCTGCGGATTTTCTGCGTTACATGGCTGTGTGATGAAATAATTCGATTTTTTCCCAAATTAAAAATAGCCGTGGGAACTATAATGCGCAGAGTCACATGGATTGCATGCTCGTTTCTGGCTTTTGCAGCGTGGATACATTTGGTGAGCTGCACATCTACATTCGTCATCCAGGTTTTTAGATTTTTAAAGCGGGCTAGTACCTTGCTATATTTATAATTTTAAAGCCATTTCCTATTAAACATTGGGCGGATGTCCAGAAATGCTCCTCAAAAACTGAACACTGGCAACATGCTACACATTTTTAACGTGGACTTTGTTTCTACGACATCAAAAATAGTCTTGCAGGGCCATTTGCTTTACAACTTTTTTATAAAAATCTGGTGAGTTTAACGATAGTATTTTATGTTTGCGAGGTCAACAAAATTGAAGATCGCGCTCCGAGCTACGCCTAAGTAATGTATAAGGGCACTAGGGTATTTCGCATTAGAGATTTAATCAGAAAGCGATGAAAAAGTAAGTAATAGTTTGGCACAGTTTAGAAGGAGAATGACCGTTAATTGACCGCTAATGGTGAATATATGTTTGACTGTTAATTACTTGCTCCGCAATCTTCGCGAGGCCGCTACATGACTGAAAGAGCGTAATTATCCTTGTTTCAAGAAAGTTATATTGTGGGCGCAAGGTGGAAGCGTAAGTTGTCTGAAGCAAACTAATTTCAGCAGTAGTTGCTTTTATGATTATTTCACAGGTGGAGGTCCTGGGCGATCCGTGGGTTTCTACGTACAACGGCCAGAAGGATCTGCCGTACTGGCGGCTAGTTGCCTTTCTCTATGGAAAGCTAGTGCTGTTGGATGTCACTTCAACACAGCTGAACACAGCTATCTCCAAGATATCGGTTTATCTTGCGCAAGCGCTTGCACTGGTAAATAATAAAAGAAATTGCTGCAGATGGTCCTTTCACCATACACATCCCCTTATTGCATCTCGTTTTTTTAGAAGTACCTTTTCTTTTGTTAATAATCAGGAACGTTGTTGTTTTTGAAAGTCACCCGTTTTTCTTTTCATAAAGTTGTCATAATGTCCTCAGTTTTTGAAATCGTTCGCCATGTTTCGAAGTTGCTTTCTATTCAAAAACGGATTTTTCGGCCAACCAGAAAACAATTGTCTTATCACGCAATTTTTCTCAGCCGGTCCACTGATACTGCATTTCAGTGTGAGCAATTTGATTAGCGGCTTTTGACCAGGGCTAGAATAACAACACTGTAGCCAGGGGAAAGTATACCGATATGTAGTTAACTTCGAAAAGGTGCCTAGAAAAGGATCGGGTGTTTTCACACGCTTTATTTAATTAAAACTGATGCTTATAATTGACGGGGTGTGTGAAAGGACTGCTTAAAAACCAACGTCAGAGTTGTCTGTAGCACCAAGATTACCGAATAACATACTGAGATTAATACATAGTTTAAGTATGTAACTACCTATTTCACACCTAGGTGTTCCTTGTTCAAATTATACCGGAAATGCTGAAGAAGCTTCCAAAAATCCTTCAGATGCGCTCCTTCAGCACTATTTACTGGAATAAAAGCGCTAAGTTAGTGAAGATGTATACCTGAAAATGTAGTAATACGGTAATACCGTTCAGGCGTACAAAAATTTAGGTAAGGTTAAATAAGCACCGCCTACAAGGAGCTTGCTGTACCGTAAGTAGCATGGCTTGGCTTGTCGTAATGTGGCATCGTGAGTATGCATTTGTGTCTCTCTGTCAGGATACATAACTGCAACACGTTATATTGTTCTGCCGGGACTGCAGCTTCGTAGTTTCTGCATGCAGATATTTTGCGGCTATAATATTGTGTAGAAAATGTACTTGCGTAGTACTTACGACAAGGGTTGCTGTTAATTCGTGAATGTTGTGTAGGTATGTCCTATTGCTTGGGTCTGTAAACCCGGACGCTGTGGCTCGGTTTGCCCAAAGCTTCTGCAAAACCAATCCAAAAGAAAAAATTCTTGTGCTGCTAGAGTAAGTATGATTTCGATTATATTTCCGGCTTTGCTTGGAAACGTCACAACTGCTTGTATATTCGAGGACAGACTCCCTTACTAACGCGCAATGTGAGTGGTGTCTGCTGTGTTCTGCCGGTCTCGCTGAACCGTGTAACTGGCTGTAGGCACAAAACCGGTTCCGGTGACGTCACCAACTGTCATAAGACTTCACACGGCAGCTATACAACAAGGGAAATAGAGGACGATAAATGTAAATCAGAACAAGACGCCTAATAAAAAAATAATACTGTAGCGGCGGTCACAATTAAGACCACCGTCTGGTCCCGCCGCTGTTTGATCCCTGCTGAGCATTTGACATGCTGCCTTGTACGAACAATGTACCGTAATTATCGAACTAGAGCCCCAGGGTTACAAATATTTCAAATGACCCACGGGGTGGGCTTTAATTACGGGCATGGGCTTGTATTTAGGGGGGGGGGCTTCAAATTCGATAATTACGGTGCTAGTATATGCAGATTTCTGTATACCACACTCTGTGGTCTAACTTGCGACCGCCGCTACCGTAGTACTTATTTCTGTCTTCGAACTGTAAGTGCATATGTACGCAGTACTACCGGTATGGGACAATGCATTTTCGGAGACTGTTCGCATTAGCTACGAGTGGAGTCTGTTCCACTCCACCATTATTCAGTCGACGCCAACTGGAAAAATTCATTGTCCCAAAATACCGCACATTGCACAATGCAGTACCAATGGCAGTATGGTAAGCGCTTTTTAAACCGGGTTGGATGGCGCAGGTCTGTTCTTCAACTAAAGACGTAAACGCTATGCTACTGGTGCAACGTTTAGACGATTATTAATTTACAGTCCAGAGGCATCCGATGAGGCTACGGAAAAGATGGATACAGTTGCTGGAAGGTACAAACATTTCCTCACGGTTATCAGCGGATCAGTTTTCCAGAACAAAGACTTCAAAAAAAACATTTCGGCGAAATGCCAGTGTGCTTTCTTCTTTGCGAACGAAAGCGCTCAGAACCATAGAGACGAGGATAACTGCAATTTTCTTCGTGTTCACACACTGAAGCAGCACTATCCTGATCTGCGGGTGATCGTGAAAGTGTTGGTATTCGAAAATAAGGTTCGGGAAGCACAAAAGTTTTGATTTAGGCGCTTTTTTTGGATTTTTCATTTAAAATATTTTTTACTCGTAGGAAAGATTTCGGAACATTCCTAACTGGCATAAAGACAACTGGTGGAAAAAAACCATAAGCAGTAAAAATGGCAGGGAATGTTGGGTTGAACTACAAGCCGATCGCGTTATTTGCACAGCAGAAATTCAATTTGCTCTTTTGGCACAACGCTGTCTCGCACCGGGAATATCTCAAGTCGTGCATAACTGGTTTGACTTATCAGACCATTCCGAGAACGACACCATCCGGACGATTGTGTTACGCAGTCGCATCGGTCTACATTGGACAAGTGCTGGATGTGCAGCGCAACCAGATGAGGCCACTGCCAATACCCGGCACAGGTCATCACCGTGGCGGAGATGTTTCCGCAAACAGGGCACACAGCGGCGGCAACAAAATGGGGATGCCGAAGCACATCAACTTAATGCACCGCTTTTGAACAACGGAATGAACGAAAACTTGGTTCATGGATTTGATCACGTGGAAGATGCAAGGGTACGGGAATAACGTGATGATAGAATACGGTTTTGTTCTGGCATGGGCCTGATTATAGACAAAGTTTCAACTCCTCTGCCGAGCGACTCTGTTTGCTATGCTGTCTGACGGTGAATTGCATTTACACCCCCCGGCATATCTTCACCTCCGATCCGGCTCAAAATTATTCTTGATAACAAAAACGAAACTCAAGAAACTGTATGCAGTTTTGTGCCCTAATTGCTGGGAGATTTCTGGCAAACGTCAGAAGCTTGCAACAGTCCCCGAATCGACCTCGACCAGCAAACTGGAGCTTGAGTTCCCAATTGGAACTGAAGGGTAAGTAGTAAGCACATATTTATTGCGAACAACAAATGTCGGGTGACAGCAGCCTGAACAGTGAGGAACAGATCATACGTACATTGTCGTACATAAGTGCGTACATTCATGCGCCATATATTCACAGCCAGAACTTGTGCGATCCCTTAGAAGCAGGCTCTTAGGTATTGTTTAGGACTGGACCGCTGTTGTGAAGCCGCTTTGCATACCGTCGTCTTTACTATGGCACGAAACACGTTTTGCAGTCCGAAGGTATCTATGCCTTACTTATGACATTATGTGTACATCCAGAAGTCATTTTAACCGCTATAAGCGATAAACTCAAGAAACGTATCCGTTATGCTCCACAATCAACTATACAGTAAGCCAAAGCGCGTGTTACGCCAATGCGGCAAATCGAAGACGTAGTGTATGCCACTGCGTTATGCACGTTTCTGTGCGCTACGGAGCTGCATCGTGCTAAATCCGGGCGGGCTTATGCTCGATATCTTGACCTTTGTCTGCCCAATCGGTGATAACCAGAATTACTTTGGTGCTTACCACTAACTATATTAATTACAGTGTCACGTTAACGTGTCAAAGGAGTGTACTGCTCTTTTATTGACCAGGGAAGTGTTTCTGTAGCATTGAGGAAGTGTTTCTGTTACAAATTTTTTTCAAGTACTAACCAGGGCACATTCTCCGGGTCTAAATTCAGAAAATTATGATTCTTTGTAGAAATGTAGAGTACTACCCTAACATGCTTAAAAAAATAATTTTATCTGCAAAGGCTCAAAGGGCGGGGTCAACCAACACTTAAATGATTACATGGTACTGAATGCTATATAGATATATGTACCACTGCAGCTGTATCTTCCAGTGGTTCGATGCTGGCTTTTCTGCAGCTTTGTTTTGAGTTTGCGGGCGCTGGCCTCGAAGGGAACTCTTTCAGAACACGTGCCCATGCCCTCCAAGCATTTCTCTTTCAAAACATTTTTATATTGAAAGCTAAACCGTATACAAGGAATTCTTGGGTCGTTGTACGGATGTGTTCGCAATTCAGCCGATAATGAATTTTTGGAAATCTGTGATTTGGCAACTGCGTAAGTGTCATCGCACGCGCGCGATAATGAGATCGGTACTTGAAAATGAAACTGGAAGGTCCATCAACTATTAATGCCATACCCGCAGAATTTAGATAATACGAAAAAGCCCTGATAGAGTACTGCACAAATGCAGTGTAATAGTATACCTAACAATAAGTATGCAGTCTTTATGTATTTATGTACTAATTTAAGTCTGTTTGGCCACGCCCTTTGAGCCTTTGCAGAAAAAATTATTTTTTTAAGCAAACTGGGGTAGTACTCTACCTTTCTACAAAAAATCAGAATTTTCTGAATTTAGACCCGCAGAATGTGCCCTGGTAAGTTGATATTGGTTCCGTGATACTTATTGATCTTTTTATGGATCATGAACTGAACAGCATAACAATGACAAACAAGTAAATATTACAACATCATGGAGGTATGCCGGCAGACAGCTGGCACACGTTGCCATGCATCCTGACAATTACGTAATCCAAGGGGATCATTAATTTTTATGCCGGCATACCGCATTTCGGCACACTGCGCTGCTGTTTTAGCCAAAATGCGCAGGGTGTGGTGAACGGCGTCGGTATCAGAATTGAAACGTCCCATATTCCTGCCCTTTCTCAATGCTTGCGCAGCACGTTGTAAGTTGTACGTCTTACTGTATACAGTAACGCATGCGGCAACTCCTTGACTGAATGTTGTACTACATTTTACGTAGGTGTGTATGTGGGCCGAGCGGTAGTTTTTTAATTACTATCAATTATTATCATTACCGATTTTAGGAAGGAGGCTAATAAGGACACCGTTTGTGATATTACTGGACAATATAACGTGTACTTGCTACCCCGTACGGAAATGGTATCAAAAGTAAGTGAAGTTATAAACGGCCGTAAGTACAGTAATAGTTTGCAAACTACTCTGTACATACATACAGAACATCAAATATCCTAAGAGGTTTAAAATTCCATCGTTGCTATCTTGGTATCTCCAGCTACATAAATCAGATCCAGTAACACGTCACGGCATTTTCGCAGAAGCAACTAGCTGTAAAATTTTTGCCCAACTACTCTGATATTTTTTTCCCGGCGAATATTGTCTGCCACAGCGAATGCTCCTTGCTGCCAACTGTTGAGCCGAGGTCTCTTCCTTAGCGCACTCGAGTTCCCAAGGATCTTTTAACACTACGTGGTTACACGACTGAGTTAGCACTTAGCAGCCGGCAAGGGTTGCCGCAGCTGGGCGAACCACTCGTTGCGGCATCAGGATGGTTCGCGGTAAGCCAAAAAAATTGCAGTGAGGGTGGCGACGGTTATCTGCATCGATAAGAGTTTGAAATAAACAGAAATCTGCAACGTGGGCTACATAGTCGAAGGCTATTCCGCCAGCTTCTGCGCCAAAAAAGGTAGCCCCACGGTTCTACGTCGTACAAGCGGCAAAATGACAGAAGACTATTTTGACGTGCAGTAAAATATGACGGCAAAATAGCCATAGCCCGTAATGCAGAAATTACTGTAGCCGCCCGCACAAGTTGCTCCATTGGCAGATCCGGCCGCTGCCTTCTCCCTGCACACACTGCGCTGAACAGCGAGCAATGTGAGGCCAAATATCCGTATACCTCACTCTGTGGGGCAACTTGTGCGGGCGGCTACAGTACATTATTGAGAGAGAACAACTGTTGCAGCAACCACGCGGAATGGAAGTGCTGAAACCTGTACCTGTTCATCACGTAATTGTCTGCGTTGTGTCAGACCGGGATCCCTCTTCAGTCGGGTTGGTCAATTTTATTAAGCCACTACGTGCTGTTCAAGAGATCGACCCACCCCTTATTGTTGTCTTGGCCTCTAAAGATTTCCTGGAGAAGGAATGGGTGGCACTTGACGATTTTCCCAATATTGAGTTTGTTGAGGTTAGTCCAGGTACCTACCTCGGTATGATCCGCTTTCATTTTATTATTTTACACTATTTCACCATATACGCGACTATATTCATTAGTAAACACCCAATTAATTTCGCTATTAATAAGATATACTCGTAAGTACGAATTCAGATAGCGGGCATGTACCGTACTCTGAACGTAACCGGTAAAACAGAAGCATTAGAATCATTCCGAATTTTAAAGTCACGTGTAGCCGCGGTACATCTTGCTTTTTTCGGTCCCCTTGAATCCTTATTGAGTTTGGGATAGGGATTGAGTTAAGTAATGGTCACCGAAAAGTGTCTGTTGTATTCGTAAGAAAACATACGTGTGTTGGCGTCATATGTTATACTGCTGTGCCAGTTCAAGACTCAGGTAGTTAGCACAACGAATAAAGTTTTGAGGGAAATTAGAGTTTTTACGACGATAACGGCAGAGATAACTTGAAAAAGGTACGAGAACCGATGAGTGCTGTCACTGCTGTGACCATACTCTGCACCATTAAGCTGTGATGACACCTACCGTGATACGTGCATTGTGAGTTACAGGTTTGCATTTGCGCTGCAATGCCAGAAGCTTTGCGAACTACGGCTTAAATCGGTTGATCATCGCAGTTTAATCGCACGGGGTATGGTCGCAGACTCACAGCACCCATAGGGCGTCGTTCTCTTAAAAAGGAAAAGTTTATTTTTGTACAGCATCGCTGGACTTTTAAAAGTTGGTTCTAGAATGCGTCTTTATTGCAGGGCGATCCGCTTAATCACGATCATCTTCGTTACATCAGTATCGAAACGTGCCGGATGTGCGTCATCGTAGATGCCAGTGAGCGTCCGAAAGAGGAGTCGGATAAGTGGCAACAGTCGAATATTGATTTAATTTGGCCAATCCTTCCGAAGCATTTCTATCGGCATGTGAATGCTGTATTAGCAACGGCGTCAGTAGCAGAATATCTGAAAGGATTTCATAAACCAAGCAAACTGATCGAGGAGACTACGCAAGCTATATCGGCATACGCCTGCAAATACTGTGCTTCTGACGGCAAAGTACCAGAGGGGCGCAGAGAAACGATCAAAAGGGCTCTCACTGATTTCATAGAGCTCAACCGTGGGCAAGTAGTAACGACTACAAAACGTATAGCTGAAAATTTGGAAACCAGTCTTATAACCAACGAACCGCTATCGCAATACTTAAAAAGGCTAAGAGAAACCCACGGGAATAACGATTCTGAAGATGCCACTAGACTTGTTTTCCAAAAGTTTCGCAACTTTTCCGAAGAAGCATCGCACAACACTGCGATAAAACTCGCCATGAATGACATCTTATTACAACTCGCCATAAATGACTTTTTAATTCGGAGCGAAAAATTTTTATATTCTGCGACACGCGACATAACGGACCAGCTAACAGGATTGTATCACCCAACTTATAAACCACCGGACAGATTTGCCATAGCAGTAAATCAGCTGATCAGCTATACTTGGCCTCTAGCCCTTATTTACAGATTAGGCGTCCCTCTACAAAAGATAGCATTGGCGTTAACGGAATTTCAGGAAGAATGCTTAAACATATTGAAAGTATCGTCAAATATTCTAAACAACAAGATGCTAGTGTTTCGCAACTGGGCAGCAATTGGGTCGAACAGCGGCAGTCCAGAAATCAGTTTCACCTTAAGTGGCCCAGTGGCAAATACGTCGCAATCCAGTGAATCAAACCAGGCGCACGACATGAGCGGACTATTTGCAAATGGCACCACGATAGCAACAACGCCGTCGTTAACAATCGCTGATGGCAAGGAGCTTCGCGACCGGGCTGCGCAAGCCATCACTTCAATAATAGAAGGCTTCCGAGAAGTAAACGACAGATTGTTCAACAAAGCTCGCCTTTGTCAGCCATATGGCCCACTATCGACATACGCGTCAGATGCCATAGAAAGAGTATGGAAAATCCATTATGGAGTAGATGGTCCCCTTCCTCTCGAAAGCTTTAATGAATTACTGTTTCGCGCACTGGAAAGATATCAGCTATCAGCGAATGTGCGAACAGTCATAAAAGATGTTATCGAGCGACTCTTTCAGAAAAAGGCAGAATTGTCAGACATTGCAGCAAAACGTGTTTTGTCTATCTTACAAGCACTATGCCCATCAACTATCGACTTGAACACACACGTCAACCTAAAGGACCTAATAAAAACAAATTTGATTGCATTTGGGGACCCTTACGACTCTCTGCCTAAGCCTAAGGAAACAGAAACAGCTGTAAAGGCACTTTTGGTTTCTCTGCGACAAGCCCGTGATCCTGTGCCTGAAGAGATTATCACCTGCCTAAGTAAGTGCCATTGTAGTATTTCACTAAGGTATGTATGTATGTACGTACAAGCCCGTCCGGAGTTAGAGCACGATAGAGAACAGCTAACGCATAATAAACGCGATGTTAGCGCTTAGTCGATAGCCACTGCACTACAGTTGGCGCAACTCGTGAATTTACATTGTTCGCTGTTCTCTATCGTGCTCTAACTCCGGACCGGCTTGTATGTATTTCACTATGTAAGTAAATTTCTTCCGGTTGTCAGCTAAATTCCGTGCAGTTCAAGCAAAATTAGAAACATCTTACCATCAGGCAGTCGTAGTGATACGAGTAACCATCATGGATGGGATTTATTACTATTGACGTAATGACATTTATAACCAATTTGTTTTCTTTTTTTTCTACCCTTATAACCCCTTTTGTGCATAATTTACTGCACAACATCAGCATCCGAAACGAAATCTCAGCTTCGTACACGTTGGCCGTGTAGTATGAAGCATATACTGTTTGTACAGTGCAAGCTTGTCCGGAATTTTGTGTCGAATCAATAATGCAAATTTACGTTTTCCGCCAAGCTGCATACCACGGCGCGCCATGCCACACCGCTTAAGCAAGTAACATGCATCTGGCTGGCTAGTGGTTGGTGGCTTCGTGCACGCCAGATAATTTAGTGAGAATAATAGTAACTGCCTGGCGAAAAGTGACGAAAAGACGATCGATGCATTAATGGACAATCTAACTGCGGAGCGGATTTAAAATCCAAAAAACGTAGTGAAGTGGCCATTGTTTCAAACGCGAACTTAGCGTTACAAGCCTGTCCAAGGGACGGGCGAACACTAAACGCGAAATCTTGAAAGTTGCGGCTTAAGGGATTTGGCCCGGTACACAGCACCAAATACTTGCGCATCCACGGCAACTTTCGCTGTCGCGCATTCCCAGACACTTTTTTGCATTCCTTTATGTTATTTTGTAGCCAGAAGATTTGTTCACGTAGGCGTAAAATCCGTTTTCGCGCGCAGTGCCTTCACCGGCTATAAGAATGCGTGAAGTTATCTGGTAAAGATGTTTCCAATGCACCGGCCGACAAAAAGCTCGCAATGCCTCCAGACCATGCTTATTAAGACGGCCTCAATCCTTCGATGAGGGCACGAACGGCAGCCGTTCGAGTCTTCATCGATGCACTTCGATAACGGGTACACAAGAAAACCGGTACTCATATATAAGGTTTTTGGTTCGTTCGGAAATAAAAGACTTGCGATTCAGCAAAATACGCAAATTCTATTTGTGCAAACCATAAAATATTTTCTTTAAAAATCATGTAAGTAATGGCTGGCGAAAAAATAAAACAAGATTCTATAACGCGGGGCCGTATGGGCGCCACGCGTATCATCGACAGCGAACAGCGGTGAACCTGGATGGGGCTTTATTGCCGAATCTAATGCGCACCGTGGCGCAGCAACACCAGACTAACAAGGAAGGATTCTGCAGCCAGTGCAACTGTGCTGCAGATCCGTCAAAACAGCGCAGCAATGTGCGGGGTGGAAATCCCCAGAAACAGCGAATAGCTAATCAGGAGGGCGGAGCGTCCCGCCCTTACAATTCACAGCGTCAAAATTAACGATGCAAACTAGAATTGTGCAAAGATCTGTCCACACAGAAAGCCGGAAAACCGTACCCTAGCCAAAGTTAAGATTGACGAGTTTATATAGAAGTATGGCTAGTTTAGAAAAAGATTGTTGCGCTGTAACATATTGGACTGCTGTGTGAAATATGCCGTTGATCTGATTAGGATTTACTACAGATTACGAAGCTGTTGCTCTCATATCCTGGAAAGGTAAGGAAATGGAAAACTGGACGCAGTCATACGTGTCACCCGATTGTGCTCCACCGCAGCTGATTGACGGCCTTATGTTAAAGTGCTACTACGATAAAGACATCTTGGACGCAGTCCGGCTTTTTCTGCTCGGAGGTTACAAAGACGGTTTCGGAAGTCCCGGCAACAAAAAATCTCGTGGTTGCCAGTACGCGGGAAACCAAACAATAGTTCGGAGGGCTTGTTATTCGTCGATCCGCAGTCCAAATGGCACTGCCGCGGCAGGGTTCAATATACAGTGCCCTACTTTGTCCTCCTTCCACGATAAGGCGCTGGAGCACGCTTTCGAAAATATACGCAATCACAGCGACTCCAAATTTAATCTGATACTACAAAGAGACGATGATTACGATAGCTTTATCCGGCGCAACAAGAAATACGCGATTATTGGAAGGCAACCGACAACTTGGGCAAATGGAACCTATATGAAAGACAACAATGGAATGCAACAGTCTGGGGAAAGAAGCAATAGCGAGCTTCGTTATGGCTTTGAGGATTACAATTATTTCGTACTCGAGCAACCTTTTTTCGTTGATGCGCGTACTCGACTCCTGCTTGCAATAAAAAAGCGCTTGCAGGAGGAAAGGTAGAGATTTCTTTAACCTAGCACATGTCACATACTAACAACCATCGGTATCGTCGCAGCCCTCCAAACAATGACGCAGATCGAAAGGATATCCTTGACATGTATGCTCAGCTGGAGATCCTTCCCAAACAGTTACTCCAATTAATGGAAAATGGTAGCAGCACAATGCCCGGCGCTAATCGGCCTGATTATTATCAGCGATGGGTTATAGTTTACTACTGGATCATGCTAAGACTTTCCCAAGATGACAAGGTTTGTTAAATTATGTAACACCTACATTTAAACATTACGTTTAACTGTTACAGTGAAGTGCATGGTAGTGTAATGGTTCTAATTTCTCGGATTTGTTTTATGTACACTATTAAGGATGAGTGAAACATTTACTCAGATGTGCAACCGCGACTCCCGCGCCAGCAGTTTCGTTCATAACGATTTCTCGATAAGCCTGTCGCAAAAAAAAATAAAATGGCAGAGAGAGGAAGGCTGTGGCGGGCATCTTTTTTTCAAATTTCAAAATATTTTATTTTTGAAATTCGTTTTGTTTTGTTTATTGTGGTATCTGCGCGATACCGTTACGGTAACGGCATATGGAACTTGTTTTTAATGTAGCGTACTGCAGTACGCTATAGTATATAAGTAATTACGTGTTTCTTCAAATTCTGTCTGGCTATGCCCTTTGGGCCTTTGTTTAAAATTAATTTGTCTGCATACCGAATTTCCACCATTCTACTACATAAAAAAATCAGAATTTTCTGAATTTAGACCCGGAATAATGTTCTGGTCAGTTGCACAACCAGGTCCAGCCGCGAAACAGGTGTAGAATCTAATTTTAGTTTCATTATACACGTTATTTGAACTGGGATTAGCACTTCAGCTACTTCGCTTTGACCGATATTTCGTACGGTTGCAGTGTACGACTCAATATTTCTAACACTCACCGTGCTTTTGCCCGTGTTGGTCTCCGAGTCTAACACGGCATTTCAGTCTGCGCATTCAGTCGGCTTACATGCTAGTATGCTACACTGCGTAGTGCGTGCTACATGCTGCAGCCTACGTGGCTCATAGACATTTCAGTTATCCTGCTAAAGTAGTTGCCGGCTAAAGCGGCTGTTTACTCGGCCGAGTGTTAGAAATATTGATCCATACAGTACAAGTGTTCGAAATAATGGTCAAAGCGAAGTAGTAAAACGCCACGAAAGCGGAGATCGGCCACTGAAATGCTATAGTAAGAGTCACTAAGATGACTGGTTGTTGGGAAATGCCGAAATAGTTCTTTTAAATGGGCCTTAAAATCGCACAATGCGGTTAAGATACGCGTCTATTTGATATAAGATAGATCATGGTTATCACTGTTATTGTTATTATAATTATGTACGTGGAGTGGTGCTGGTTACGTAAAATCTACTCCAGACTCAAGGCAAAAACAGATCTTTTTTTCAGTTTAAAGAGAGATATGCGCGACTATTGCCATCGAACGCCGAAGCAATTGCCGACGTTGTCTTGCAGCACAATCACGTTGGAGTGGGTGCAGGAAGCGGAGTTATCTGGAAACTGCCGAAGGTCATCCACGAATATCTCTCGCTCGTATTTGACAGAATTGAAGCCCCGGCCAATACTGCGTACTTCTACAAACAAAGCAAAGATTTTGCAGGAAAAGTGCTTTGGCGCGATATAGCTCCAATTGTTGACAAACTTTAGTTCGCCCCGACGTTGGAGCCAATGTGCGAGCTCAAGACAGAAAGAATGTGTTTTCATGGCAGCATGAGGGAAGGGTGATGTTGCCAAACGAAGTCTGCGTGAACTGTCCAGATTGCAATTTATAAAAAAAAGATTCTAAGTTGCGTACTGTTCAACCAAATATCATAAGATAATTCTATCCTGCGCAGAATCGCCCAAAGAGATATTTACCTACTGCTTTCCAATTTAAAATTATTGCTTTACGCTACGCAGAAAATTATAATCGACAGATTCATCGATCCTGGGTAAAAACCTGATGGGAGATTCCGCCGTTTCTCGAAGAAGAACAAGGGAGTTGCGGACAACTAGTGTCCGCAACTCACTTGTTCTTCTTTCAACTCAACTCTCTCAACGTTCAACTCTCAATACAAGTTATACAACCACGCACATTGTAGCGTAATCCGTAAGTAAAAATCTTTTTAATTAGCGTTCTTCACAGACTCTGTGCAGGCTCCTTTGAACCTGAAGTTAATTTGCTGCATTGTTTTTCTTCCAGTGATAACTGATAAGCTGATATGTTCCGGTGGCGCATCATTAGGGATAGTGCCATAGTTTTCCATTTTATCTTTGACAGCTTGATTTGTGCGGTACGGGTGCCAGGGGTTTTATGCCGAAAATAGGTGTGCCTGCAGCGCGAATCGATGCTGAATTACTGGATAAAAACTAGAATATAATATTTGGGTTATGGGATCTATTTTTGGGAGACAACAGAACTGATTGCTCATTACTGTAATTAAACGCCAAATACAGTAATTTAGATGACAGCGTAATAGAAGTGACAAGATCTGGGTTAGGTTCCGTTAGTTATTACGAGTACAAGTAATGGACATATGTACGTGCCTTTTCTGATCAATAGTCTAGCGTTACTCCCGATAAATCTTTTATTTGCTGGTTTTGAGAGAGGTCAGGATTATCCGTGTCGCTACATTTTGAAAGCGGACCGTTTATTGCAAGCAGCCCGTCCGCACTCGGCCGCTCTTTCAAATTAGATTTTAGGCACTGTACGACGAAATCCTTGGCGATTTTTGGTAACGATTCAGGAATCTCAGGAAATATCAGATTTTTTCGTTATTCAAGTGATAAAGAACCCCCATTTCCAGTCCTATTGGCTGGCTTTTTGCTCTGATATATCTACAGTGGCGGTTGCCCGGTTAGCAAGTTCCAGGCAACACAGCCAGCACTCCAGATATCGCTTTTACGTCCAACATCCTACTTTGGAGACAGTTAATCAGTTCGGGAGCGACGAAACAATCGTCCGCGCCGGAGTGGGCATGATTTCGGCGAGTAGGACCGTTCCAACTGGCGTATGCTGTGAAAACCTCCAATCTTGATGGTTCCTTTAAAACGTGCTTCCGTGAAATAAACTACGCGACTGCTCTGACTGCGGAGAATGATGCGGCTTCGGTGTAAGAAATCGAAGTCACGCACCATTTCGTACGCCCACTTTTGTATACACTTATTGGTAAACAGTGCGTGGCGGCGTCCGTGAAATTTCCGCCTGCAAAAATGATGCAAGTGTCAAGACGGAAGTGAAATTATCTAATGACTCGATCTGTTCTGACTATGGACCAGCCTACACAAGCAGCATTAATGAGCTTATTCCTTCCAAGACCTACATCCCTACAAAACCTGCATGCCCCACGTTTAGGGCCAGCAACTGCCGCTTTCCCTGGCGGATCGGACAATGACAATATATCGGACATTGAGCAGCGTGTGTTACTATTTCCGTACCCACACTTTGACGTGCATTTCTTCGAGCCGCTATTAATGCGCAAAGTAGAAGTCTCGAACCGTACGGAATTTTTGTACGGTTACGTACCGGTACGGTACCAATCGACGCTTCTGCAGCTACTGTACGGTTACGGTAACAATAACCGGATAGACCGTACCGTACACCGTATAACGTTTGCCAATATAACGTTGGTTGTTTTTTCAATGTTTAAAATTTTAACAGTGACGTAGTGTGTCTGTGCTTGCACTTTTTGTTACTTTGACGGCTATTGTCTTTTAAAATGCTTTTATATAGGGTTTTCGGCTTACGGTTACATAAGGACACGGGTAGTAGTCGTTTCGTAAAACGGTTTCTTACAGTCGTTTCGTTCATCCTAGTCGTTTCATAAAACGGTTTCTTACAGATCGACCATACCGTAAGCAGTAAGATTGTATAACATTTCACAACCCGACATTTCATGACGTAACGTTTCATGGCGTAACAATTCACAACCTGGACGTTTCACAACCGTAACATTTCGCAACTCAGACTTTTCACAACCATAACAATTCACAACCCAGACTTTTCGCAACCGTAACATTTCATAACCAGGACATTTCACAACCGTGACATTTGGATCCGCTTTCCAAATCACGGATGTAAAGCCGAATATTTTAATGAACAGTGCATCGACCTGAACAATGTAATTAGTTGGCATGGTTTGCGGTTGATGATTGTTTCTCTAGTTTGTTCGTAATGCACGATTCAACCATAACCGATTCAGTAACGAACAGAAATGCTCCTCTCAAAATTTGGCAGTATCATATGTAAATAAAGGATAAGAAAAACAGTTCTAAGTTGTGGCGATGTCGTAAGACCACCTGCCATGGACGTATGGCCTTTATTAACGGAGATATTCCAGAGGTCACCCAGCACTACCACCTAGCCGATAAAGCGGGAGTGCTGGCTCACTTGGCAAAAATGGATATGAAGAAACGCGCGGGCGAAACCTTATCAAAGCCACGACAGTTGGCGTTAATCGTCAACAAGGATTTGGCCTTACAAGCAGTCTGCAATATGCCATCAGATGCAGCTCTGCAACGTATGTGCCAAAGGGATAATTTAAGAATTAAAAAATTAAGAATTTTGTTTTCACTCTAATTGAAGGAATTTAGATCATGACTCATACTACCAGTTAATACAAAATATTTGTAATTGCAAGATTGTTTGAGTGATATATGATGTATGTTACTACATACTCATAACGCAAAAACACCGATTCCTAATGAGACTTTTCTTCCAAGATGTTTCTAACTCGAATGAATCGTCGTGGTTTTGCAAGAACATACAAGCTATGAAATATGCATAAGAAATCATCATTGCAAAGATATCAGTTCAAACGTGACATAAACAACAAACTGTTGCATAACCGGCTACATCACTCACAAGAGTGTCGGTAGCACTACAGGTGATTACTCATCACACAGCACCCCGTATCTTAAGAACTTTGGTCACCAGACAAAGTGACAACAACAGGAAACACAGACAGTGAATCAAAAATGAGCAAGTACAGTAAGCACAAATAAGCAAGCGGTAAAAGAATATTAAGGTGATGAACTGCGGATGGCACGGTTCCGGAGTGTCCGGATAACGGGTCGATGATCATCATCTTCCATTGGCGACGGGGGCTCGTGCGCAGGAGTGGATGGTACAACGACGTCGCGCTCAATATCGTCCTTAAGCTCCGGATCCACGGCATCCATCGGGATGCTCCACTGCGAATCAGAATCGCTATTAAGGTCGACGTCAGTTAACGGTTGCGTGAATAGTTTCAAACGCTTTACGTGTACAGTCAATACACGTTTTCCGCGTTTGTTACGAATGGATTCAATTTCATAATTTAATTTTGACACGCGGTTTACAATTCGGTAAGGACCAAAATAATGTGCCACCAGCTTAGGAGACAAACCCACCGAGTTACTGGTGTGTACAGCAAGACAAGGTCACCAATTTTGAATTCACGATCTTGGCGTTTCAAGTTGCCGGTCAACATGTAACCTGCCTGCACTTGATCGATGTTGGCCTTAGCCACATGGCTTGCCAGTTTAATCCGTTCAACCATGGTTTACTGTACTCGTGCAAGTTGTTGATATTATTAGTAGGTAGTGCACCGAGCGTGGCATCAAGTACAGAGCGGCATTCGCGACCGTACAACAAGTAAAACGGCGTCTTGCCGGTCGAAGCTTGCGTACTCGTATTATACGCGCAAGTAACGTATGGGAGGTACACATCCCAATCTTTCTGGTTATCGCTTACGTACAAGCTGAGCATTACAGCTAGTATTTTATTGAACGCTTCTGTCAACCCGTTGCAAGCCGGGTTGTAGGCAGTAGTGTTTAGATGTCGTACCTGACACAATTCTGTGACACCTTTTACAACTGCTGACAAAAAAGGACCACCTTGATCAGGTAACATTTTTGCCGGCGCACCATGTCGCAGAATAATTTGTAACACAAGGAAATTCGCAACTGCACCAGCAGTCTGTGCCGGAACTGCTTTTGTTTCAACATACTTGGTCAAGTAGTCTGTACACACAATTATGTACTTATTACCTTTTGCTGTGACAGGCAACGGGCCAAAAACATCAATGCCTATCATCTCAAATGCTGTACCCACCGGGATACTTTCAATTAAACCACCCGGTTTTTCTTTATTCACTTTCCGAAACTGACAGTGTTCACAACCACGTACATACTTACGTACATGGTCACGCATGCGCGGCCAGTAGTACCGTGAGCGCAATCTGTTATATGTGCGCCAAAAGCCAAGATGACCGGACGTCATTTCATCGTGGCAAGCATGCAAAATTTGACGTCTAAGGTGTGTTGGTACAACCAACAACAACACTTCTTCTCCGTCTACGAGAGCGATTCGGTATAATACATTACCGCGAAGACAATAACGTACAGTATCTTTACCGACTGCACCAGCTGTCATCCGTGATACTATACGAGTAATTTTTTCATCTAGCCGCTGCTCTGCGCACATGTCAGCGGAAGCGGTCATGGCCACTAGCATATCGAAGTCAACATCAGCTGAGTCGGCGGCTTCAACAGGATGCCGCGACAACGCATCAGCATTCTGATGTTTTTTGCCACTACGATAGACTATAACAAAGTCGTATTCCTGCAGATATACTGCCCACCGGCTCAACCGGCCGGCCAGCACTCGTCGCGACATTAGCCAACATAAGGCGCAATGGTCGGTGACGACACGGAAACATTTACCATGCAAATACGGACGCAGTTTTTAATACACCATACAACAGCAAGACACTCTTGCTCGGTCACTGAATAGCGCGATTCCGCTGCACTAAAGTTTTGCTAAACTTAGAATACCCGGCGCGAAGTCGAACGTCAGCATACCAGATCGCCGACACGTAATTCTTTTTGCCATGCAATTGATAAGTCCTGAAAGATTCACCGCGATATGTCGGTAGTTTTGCAACATGCCAAAACACGTTCACCGACGTCAGTTTTGATATCGCAGCCCCTATGCCTAGAGCGCCGCATCTGTGTGCAGTTCTAACTCAGCTGCCGGGTCGTAATGAGTCAGCACAGAGAGCTTATCAATGCTGACTGCAACGCTGCGAAAGCTCGATATTGTTCATCCGACCAGATAAAAGGCTCACTTTACGTGTAAGACGCACTAGCGGCTCAGCAATGGCAGCAAAATTACGCACAAAGCGACGGAAATAAGAACAAAGACCCAAGAAAGATTTAACATCAGTCACATTTTCTGGTACAGGGTAATTAACAATAGCCTGTAATTTGTCCGGGTCAGGGCTTATGCCGGTTTTGTCAACAATATGACCTAAGTACTTTGTATTATCGGATGCAAACTTACACTTTGACGGCTTGAGCACGACCCCGGCTTCTTCAAGCTTAGTTAACACCGCATCCAGGTGAGCCACATGCTCGTCGAATGACTTGGAGTAGATCAAGACGTCATCTATGTAAACAATTACAAATTGCCACCTGAATTCTTGTAAAATTCGGTCCATTGACCGCTGAAACGTAGCACCAGCATTGCACAAACCAAAGGGCATTCTGTTGAAATGGTACAAACCATCGGGTGTGATAAACGCAGTGCGATCTTTACTCGCGTCGGCGACGGGGATCTGCCAGTATCCCCACGCCATGTCTAAATTAGTGAATTACGCACACCCACCTAAACGATCTAACGCGTCGTCCAACCGTGGCATAGGATACACATCCTTCTTTGTGATCGCGTTGATGCGCCGATAATCAACACAGAAACGGGTGGAACCATCCTTCTTATACACCAGAACAACAGGGGACGCCCAAGGGCTACAGGATGGCGACACAATGCCTTGACGTAACATCTTATCAACTTCGCTGCGGATAACTATGCGTTCCGCCCAGGACCTGCGGTAAGGCGGTTGCGACAACGGCGCAGCACTACCAGTGTCTATGTGATGAGTGACACCGGTCACTTCACCAATTGGCCGTTCTGCCGTAGGAAATACTTTCCAGTGCTTACGCAAAACTGCACGAAGTTGCTCGGCTTGTCCCTGTGTCAATTGACTACTAATATTCAACTCAGGCAACGGATGGTCATCAACAGCACGATTGGTCACAAGACACACATCGGCTTCGTCGTCGATGGTTACCGGAGCGGCAGACGCAATTGTTTCGCTCAACGCCAACTTTTGCCGTGTTCGTGAGAAATTAGCACAACTTATGTAACAACAATTGTTTACAATTTTCATTAAGGAATGCGACGTTCGCAAACCTTTTTGTGCGAATAGTTTTGCATTCGGACTAGTTATGAAATCCATATTTTCTGAGGGAACACGACCTGGAAATGTATTATGCCTAAGTTTACATTTCACCCAGGCGACGTGACCAGCTGGTATGCTGACACGTTCGCACACCACTAGATCCCGCGCCGACCACGGTAGGAATTTCTCTCCGGTCGTGTCATTAAACCGACGCACACTGCGCGTTGCATAATCGATCACCAGATCGGTTTGCATTAGGAAGTCATTTCCGATAAGTAAATCACGATCGTAAGAGTCAAGTATCAACACTTTGATCCGTCTAGTGCAATTAGCAACTGAAATTTCAACTAAAGCGATACCAACCGGCTCCACTAATTTACCAGAAACTCCTTTAATTAGACGGCCTGTGTAGCGTTCTACTAACGCATTCACTGAGCGTGCACACACCAAACTCATAATAGTGACTGCTGAACCTGAATCTACGATTGTGTCCACCTGGGTACCATTAACATATGCATTAGCTTTTACCGGTGAGGACGGTGAAAACTCATCACTCTCCTCGAAAACAGGATATACAGCAAATGGTGAAAGGTCACTTTGTCGGGAGGTTCGTTACGAGTAGCTACGCCCCGAATATTAGCTACTCTCTGTAGTTTAAATTACGCTCACCCCGATCACCCTGGCACCGCCATTTGCCTGCACGTCCCGCATTGCACGCCGCTTGTCGAAGCAACGGAACTCCAGATGTCCTTCACGTTTGCAGAAGGTGCAAAACCGTTTACCTTCTTCAGTGGTTTCCGCCGGGATGTCTCGCGACGCGGTTGGCATCGGTCCACCGGGTCCATGATGAGGTAGTCTGCCTCGTCCTCCACGGCCACGCCCTCGTCCACTGTATCCATTGAATCGACCACGTGGTCCACCTCCGCGAACGTACGTTTGAGTGAGCACCGGTGCTGCATTGTTCTCCCGCGCGACTTCCATGGCCTTTTCGACTGCAGCGCGGACAGCGTTATCCAGTTCAGACTGAGAATACGTCTTTGAACAAGGCGGTGACACACCGGTATCCGGTTGCTCACCGGCAGGGATGACCTCATCACTCTTGCGTTTTGGTGACGCGCCGGCTGCCGACATCACAGCTAAAACATTATGCGAATCAACATCAGAACTACTCGCATCAAATTTAAGGATTTTCAGTTTCGCCAAAACATCTTCCGGAGTTTGTGGATCAAGCAGTGCAACGTGGTTACGCAGCTGCATACTCAAACCATTGAGCAAGTAGTGCACTTTGAGGTCATTAGCCATAGCGGCATCAACTTTACGGCACAAGTCAATAATGGCGTAATAGTACTCAACAAGAGTTTCACTATCTTGCTTGAACTTCCTTTTTTGTAATTTACTTTGAACTTCCCATTTTTCGTCCTGACTGACAAATTCCGCTAAAAAGCCTTGTTTCAACAATGCCCAGGTAGCAAACGGCTGCTTGAGTGAATACCATTGCTTGGCTGCACCAGCAGACAAGTAAAACGAGAAACGGTCTTTTTTTATATCGTCTTTCCAGTTAGACAGCGTGGCCGCTTCCTCGAACTCCTTCATCCAGTCACGAGCGTCATGCTCAAAAGGTTTAAACTTGTCCATGCACTGCAATGGACCGCTTGACGGAGCATCGAAGACAACATTTGTCAGACGCTGAAACCCGTCGGTCAGTGCTTTAATCGTTGCTTCACTCATAATGCCGGTTTCAGCAATTACAGTATCAGTTAAATCAACTATGTCCGGTACAACCGGGCGAACATGTACTGTATCTGTACTTTCCGAATGACTACGCGAAGAACTACGCGAATCGGTATCAGGTTTTTCAGTTCGAGGTTTACGCTGATATTCTGAACCTTGCAGTCCTTCTGAAAACTGAGATTTACCGTCAGAACGCAAGTGTGGGCCACTTACACCTGAAAGGTCACCTTCAACTGACTGTGTGCTAGAACTACTAGCGGCTTTTGTGGTAGCGACAGTAGCGGTTTTTGTTTTGTCGGCAACCTTGCCGGCTTTCTCAGACTTATCGAAACTCCTCGACATGCAATATAAACAAAAGATAAGATTAACCGAGAATTTGACTGCAGATTTAGCTGCTCTTTGCCTGGTACAACATGTATCCGAGTACACCGTTAGCGACAACGCTAGAAACGGTTACAGCCAGCAAGACTTTAGTGGTAAAAGAGCAACAAGAAAAAATTTTACCGACCGCGGCAGTCAAACTAGAACAAATAGAAGGCATTTTAGCAGTTCTGCTGACCTTTCAACTGCTGCTCCAACAACTGCAGACGGCGATCAGTGTCGAGTTGAAGAGTGGTAATGCGATCGTTAGCATCCAACATGGCATAATCCGATTCGGGCAAAGTCAACTGAACTGTCATAATGAAATAGGAAAGGTCACCGGTCCTTATACCAGGAGCGCCATGATATATGATGTATGTTACTACATACTCATAACGCAAAAACACCGATTCCTAATGAGACTTTTCTTCCAAGATGTTTCTAACTCGAATGAATCGTCGTGGTTTTGCAAGAACATACAAGCTATGAAATATGCATAAGAAATCATCATTGCAAAGATATCAGTTCAAACGTGACATAAACAACAAACTGTTGCATAACCGGCTACATCACTCACAAGAGTGTCGGTAGCACTACAGGTGATTACTCATCACACAGCATGAGTAATTTGGTAAATTTGTGGCATAACCGCACCACCAAGGGGTAGCTAGAAATTAACGCTGGATGATGGCAAAATTTTTTTCACCGTTGACTACTACGTTAAAATGAGAATACAGTAAAACGGCTAAAATTATTGATGGAATGCAGTGGTCATGAAATGTTATGGTTGTGAAAAGTTGCGGACATGAAAAGTTACGGTTGTGAAAAGTTGCGGTCATGAAATGTACGTTGTGAAACGTTACGTTATGAAATGTCGAGTTATGAAATGTCGTGTAACGAAGCAGTAACGCCGTATACAGTTTGCTACCTTTAACACAAAGCACCTAGCATCTATGGAAGAAAGACGAAGAAAGAACAGCTTGGGATACGTCACCGAAGCGTTTACTGCTAGAGAGAAAGAAACATAAAAACATAACAAACTGCTTTTCTGTTCTGTGCATTCAAAGCGGTGACCTCTAGATGAAAGGGTTCCCGGCTTGTAATTATGCTGGAAACTAATTTTTGCTTTCTGGTTTTGCTTTTGAAAGAGTTTTCCACCAATAACAATATCGCGTGTGTGTTTATTGCACTGACACTAAAGCTCTCAATGCTTCTGGAATGCTGGAATGGTTTTTATGTTGTGCGAGACCTGTTGTTGACCTGATTTATGATGTATTTCAGATTGCGTAGCTGTTGCTCTCATTTCCTGGAGTGCTGAGGAAATGGAAAGCCGGGAACGATCATTTGTGTCACCCCATTGTGCTCCAACACAGTTGGCGGCCGAATAACGGTCTTTCGTTAAAGTTATACTACGATAAAGGCAACTTTTGAAGCTGCCCGGCGTTTCAAGATCTGTATACCATTGTATGTGCAGATGCTATTCCGTCTATGCGAGTATCTTAGGGTTCTTTAGTGATGTGAGACTTAGTGGCAGTAAATAGTGAACCTTACATAGTAAGCCGATTTTGCGTTTCACTAATCAAGTGAAAACTAAGCAATAAACTGCAAAACATGAAAGTAAATAGTAAGTAAAGGTAAGCGTAGCCGCGTCGTAAACGGCAAGTAGTGAATACTGTTCCCAGTAAACTATGCCACATGTTTGTACACTCGTAGTGAATTATACTTTGTGATGTGATAACATAATAACAGAAATAATAGAAATTCTTAGGTTATTACAGGATTGCATAATTTCGGAAGTAGTCACGCTATCAGTGACTCATGGTTAGTATTAGATAAACGTGTACTTCTAATCATCGATGAGCGCTGCACCTCTAATTGTATGTGCGACGGCGCCGTAGGTTCGCCACAAAGGCTCTCTAATGGTAGATCCAGAACAGATCCACAGACGGAGACAGAAACGGAATCTATCCCGTGGAAGTGAGCAATACGATCTGGATTGCGAACTATTGCGAAATCACAAAACGTCGCACCGTAAACTGCTGACTTTTTAATATTGAAAATCCCGACAACAGAAAATCAACACTGATCGGCGCAGCTCGATCGTAAAGCGTGGAACCCATTCAACAGCGTGCAACGCTGTGCAGCACGTGCTATGCCGCGCCCACTAACAAAACACAAGCCAATCAGAAGCGAGACACAACACAGGCCATAATCCAAAGGCGTAGCGCCTAGCGCCACTGACGTGAACGCTAGTGATCCCGGTCTCACATGCCTCTGGGGGGATGCCGAGCTCCTGTGAGGCTGGACACACTCCCGAATCCACGAGAAGACGGTCGCCGGTGTCTGTGTGTGCTCGAAAACATCAAATTCTCTTATTCCATTTATCATATCACATCAATTCCATAAGGCACAATTCCATTTTAACACAATGTGAATAAAGAGATCCAATTACAAAAATACTATCATAAAACAGATCAACAGTTATAAAATCAACAAAAGTATTAATCAAATGTAGACTAGGATCCTCCATTTCTGACTCGTAAAGGTCACAGGTCCTGTCCACCGTTTTCCGCACTTTAATCCATTCCGCTCTGTTGAGCAATTCCGCGCATCCATAGTGCGACTTTCCATCACAATCCGCTTGAGAATCTGGTGCGTATCAAGTACGACTTAGAATACTGCTTCAATCTTTGGAATAATGTGCGTATCAATTGTACGACTTCAAAATGAGATCCATAAAGGTCATGGAGGGACGTCATGTAGACAAGCGTAGTTCGCTTCCTCCCTGGTAAAGGTCATCATTTGTTGAGATGATCCGTTGCGATGTGCGACTCATTTTGGGTTAGTAGTCCCAAAGGTCATGCGACTTGAATTCCATTACGATGACTCTGTTGGGCAATTGATGATCCCAAAGGTCATCCGACTTCCATTAAAGGTCATGGAGGAACTTAGCCGATTTTCTGCGGCTTTCAAGCACTTCGCTTGCCTCCCTGGTGAAATTTGCAGTTTGACCTTTCTGTCGCACATCCAACTTCAGTATGCCTCGAGCGGCCAGAGTGCCGGCAAGTTTACCGTAGCATCTCTGATGGGGCCGGCTAGTTACCGCATTGAGTTTACCCCATGAAATTTCCACCTTAAATCTTTGACTCTTGTTCACCGCTTGTGGCTAATATTACTACGAGAAATCCGGCTCGATTACCGTAGTTTTTCTCGTTTCACCTTTAACACTGAATCGCTTAAGAAGAGTGCCGGCGCAGTTTACCGTAACAACTCTAATGAGGCCGGCTGATTGCCGCATTAAGTTAACCTCATCAATATTCCACCTGTTGTCTTTCTCTTTTTCGCCGCTTGTGGCCCCGTTTCGTATTCAAGAGATCCGGCTTGATTACCGTTGTTTCTCTTGTGCATTTATAACACTGAGTCGCTTAGAGAGGAGAGCCGGCTAACTGCCGTAACTACTCCCTTGGGGCCGGCTTTATAGACCGAATCAATTTCAACCCCAATAGATACTCCACATGATTTCTTTTAGGCAATTCTGTGCTATAAACGCTGCAAACAACAAATACACAAATACAGTTTATGTTAACATGTCATGTGTCACGTCCTTTATACAACACCATTTTCATCTTTGTGACGTACCGACAAATGCCGTAGACGTCCTTTTAATAGTGTGATCCTAAAGGTCAACACTATTCCATTTCATTTGAATCGCCCTCGCCATCTCTCGGCCGGCGTTTCTTAGCGCTTTCCGGTTGGTTTCGGTCGGAAATTCGGTCAACTGGTTCCGTCGAGTCAACTTCCATGACCTTTGTCGGGTCAACTTCGCGCTGGCCACGACCTTTACCTTGGCGACTTCGCTTAACCGCCTCAAGTCGATGGCGTGCGTCATTCTCTTCGAGTCGCAGTCTGCGGTTATCAGGGTCTTCCGCCAATCGACGCTGCACGTCGGCGAGATTATCCCGCAGCTGTTGGTTTCGGATGCCGCGTCGTCCCATCTGGTTAGGCGCACGGTCTGGACGACGGTCACTTTTCTTCACTAAGAAGTCATCAATGTAAGTTTCGATTCCGTCCACCGGTTCGACGTAGTCGCTTCCCAGAGAATCTTTAATCTTATTAATCCTTTCTTCTACTTGGGATGCGTGGCGCTGTGTCAAGTTGCCCTTTTCCATCCGTATCTTACATTTCTTCAGCGCCTTCCGAGCCGTATGCGCTATGCTGATATGTTCCATCGGTTGTCCCAACTTGGCGACATGAGCTCGGAAGAACGGTGGAATGTCGTCCTTCATGGTATTAGACACCAATTGATTTTGTGTCTTATAATGTGCCAGTCTCGCAGCAAAGACCTTTTGCCCCATCCTTTTTGCGGCATAGTCCTTAGGATCCACCTGTAGTCCTATCGACGCCCTTGCTGCAAGCAACTTGAAAGCTGGGTTCACATGTCGTAGAACAAACTGAGCCACGTATTCTTGGCGTTCGGGATAATCTGTGTAATAAAATTGTGTCATCCCAATTGGGTCAGTCGTATCCAGCGGCACATCCAATAGACTCAAATCCACCAAACTGTGTAGCCCATTCCGTCTGATAGGGAGATAACAGTCCCGTGCTGAATCGCGGTGGATGAATAACCGACGGAAAAGTCCTTGTTCCACTCCTTGTTTAATCTCTCTCGCGTAACCCGAGTCAAGTAGGAATTGGCTCAACTGTCTCAGAATTGTGCCAATTTTGTTGGCTTCAACCGAATCCGGCTCAAGTCCAAAGTATCGACAAATTTCGACCGTTTGCTCATCGATATCAGTTGTATTATATTCCATGTCGATGGTATCCGGTTGTCGGTTATCGAATCTGGAGTTCTGTCGCTGATCGGCCCGGCGATGATTATCCGGTTCTCGTTGACCTTCTGGTTCCCGTCGCTCTCCTGACTCAGGCTGCGACGGTTCGTTACTCGCCGGTTGTTCCGGTTGAAGGTCACTATCCAAAATTACATTTCGTCGGTGGGTCACGTTCTCTTGAGACGTTTCCGCAATCAAACTAGTCCCTTCCATCGCATCGTCTTCTCGTACGACGCTCACAATTGGATCCACTACATGAACCACTGAGTCCACCCGCTGATACTTTGGGGGTGAATCTTCTCGTTCAGTGCTTGATGACCTTTTACTTGCGCCCGAGTCAAAGGTCGCATAAAATGCAGCTCTCTGTTGCCATCTTTTATCCTGTGGGTCGGGTGTTCGGTTCCGCGTCTGTTCGCGTCTTTTGTCCCATGACCTTTCAGGTGTTGACATTCTGACATTGCGATTACGGAACGGAGCTTCCAACGGCACCTGATGGCCTTCCTTTTCAGGTTCAGTGCGGAATGCTTCCGCACGCCGTTGCTCTTCCCGTCCTCTCGTTGCTGCTAAAATCTTTGCCGTATCGATTTTCCGCTGAATACTCGTTTCCGTTATCTCATTTCCATGGCGTACCCATCCTCTTCCGCCACGGTAATCTCGGTCGC